ACCCTATTATGAGACAAAATGGATTAAGACAAAGAAAAAAGACTACCCGATAATCATGTTTGATCAGAGAATAAAAACAAGAATATTGTTTAAACCACAAAAATAACCGCATATCCCCCCTTCCTAACTAATGTGAGTGCTGCTTCCTTTCTACCAGCTAGAAAAGAATTAAGGTGCCCGCTGTAGGATAAATCACTTCCTCTATGTCTAACAGCATCCAATCCAGAGCAAAGGTCCACTGCCTTGCATTTTCCTCAAAATAATTTGCCACAAGCCCAAGTCCTGTCTTTTCTAATACCCTTTTACTTAGAAGACTCATGGTCCCAGTGGGGTATGGTCTCTCTTATGGTTGAAGTCAATAAGTTTAATTTTGTTCCTGGTTATCTTGACTGAAAGGAATTGACAAGTCTATAGCTTTCATTACATTCTGAAAAGGGTCAGAATGTTACTGGAGAAAATCCCACGACCCAGGCTGATTAGTCAGTCTCTCTTTAAATTAATTACCAGAAACCTCAAGTGAACCTTTAACTGACAGGCAATTATATTACAAGTCCTTAGTCCATCCAGCTTCCATCTCTTTTAAACAACTGTCTTACCCCTGCCAACTTCCCTTATGCCTCCACTTTCTCCTTCACATCTCTCATCTCAGGTGGGGCTCTTCCTCCCTGAGAAAGGAACCTCCAGGCTCTCCAGCACATCTACCTGCCTAACAGCATCCGCCCCATGCTCTGACTCCCTGCCTATTGCCATGGATCAGGAATGGGAACGTTGCCACCCAAGGGCTAAATCTAGCCTGCCCTGTCCATGTCTATTCTGTTACGCAGTATCTCTGACATTGTTTGTGCTACGAGAGAGTTGTGCAGTTGTAACAGAGACCATTTGACCTCCAAAGCCCAAAGTGTTCACAGATATTTTAACGCGTGGCCCTTTATACAAGTTTGCCAACCCCTAGCACAGATGAGCTGGGAATGTCTTATTAAAGTCCAGCCTCCACTTGTATTCCAGATGCCACCTGGTGTAACCTCCTCCAGGACATTCCTCTAGCAAGCTCCCTTTCCTTCCTTTCCTCCCTTCCCTTCTCCTCCCTTTCTTCCTTCTTTTCTTCTCTCCTTCCTTCCTTCCTTCCTCCCTCTCTCCTTCTCTTTTTCTTTCTTCTTTCTTTCTCTTTACCTTCCTTCCTTTCTCCTTCCCTTCCTTCCTTTCTCCTTCCTTCCTTCCCCTCTCTCTGTCTTTCTCTGCAGTTGATTCTACTGGATCACCCCCTCCACACACAAATGTGTTATTCTTCCATCTTAACATTTTCCTCACTCTACTATCCTAACCCGTTCCTTTGGTTGCTTTTATGGCAAAACTTCTTGAAAGACTTGTACTCACTGTCTCCAAATCCTCTTTTCCATTCACTCTAAACCCCACTTCAATCAGCCTTTTATTGCACTCCTTCACCTAAAGTGCTTTTGTCAAAGTCACAGAGGCTTCCAACAGCCACATCTTCCCCTTCTTTCAGCGGCATCTGATACAATTCAACTCTCTTCCTCCTAAAACCCTGTTTTCTTTGCCTTGCAGGATACTCCAACTCTCTTAGTTTGTCTCCACCTCTTTTCCCCAATGAATTAATACTGGGATGCTCCAAAGGTCTATGCTTGGTCTTTTTTTTTCCCTTCTCCTCTATCTATGTTCACATCCTTAATGATCTGATCCAACCTCGTGGCTTCCATATGCCGATGACTTTCAGATTTGTATTTTTAGCTCAGACCACTCTCTCAAACTCAGAACTACATATCCAGTTGCCTTCCGGACTCCTTCACTTGAATGTGTCATAGTTCTCTCCTCAAACACCACACATCCAAACTGAACTGACCCTGTCTCCCTGCAACCTGCCCCATCTGCAGCCTTCTTTGTCAATGGCAACTCCATTCTTCCAATTGCTCCAGCCAAAAATCTTGGTATCATCCTAACTCTTCCTCTTACACTTATTTCCAGCAGATCAGAAAATCCAGGTGAGTCTACTTTTAAAATATATCCAGTATTCTTTTCAATACTCGCTACTTCAATGCTGCTCTGCCTGAGGCACCATCATGCCTTTCCTGGTTCGTTGCAGAAGCCTCCCAATGGGTCACTTTACTTCTGTTCTCGCCTTGCTTCAACACAGCAGTTAGGGAAACCCTTTAACAATTTTAGAGAGACCATGCTACGCCTCTGTCCAAAGCCTTGCAATGGCTCCTACTTCCTCTGCACCTGGTTCCCCAGCCACTTTGCTTTCCCTGTGGCACCCCAGCATGCTCCTGCTTTAGGCATGAGCCTTGGTGCTCAGGAGTGCCTGGAACACTCTTCTCCTAGCTAGCCACATGGCTCACTCTTCCGTATCCTTCAGCATTGCTCAGATCTCACCTTCCCATTCAAGTCCACCCTGACCTGACCACCCCATTGAGAACTGCAAGCCCTTCCCTAACCATTCATATTCCCCCGTAGCTCTTATTGCCTTCTAACATTCACGATCAATTCCCTAGTTATTCTGTTTATTGTTTACAGCATTTCTCCCTAGTTGGAATCTAAGTTCCCCAAAGGGAGGGATCTTGGTACCAGTCACCTAGGAATGAGGTTGGCCTACATTTACCAATCAACACATTTATTGGATGTTGCTGAATAAGTATCGCAGGCCTGGAAAGAGGGACTGAGCGACTTTGGTCTAGAGTCCTTCACTGAGAAACAGAGAGCAAGGGTGCCTTCCTCAGGTGTGGTTCATTGTCATCAACTCCACGTATTTTCTTAAAATGGAGTTTTTCTGACTATTTGCATGCCAACCTGAGTTTCTGAGAGCAACCTATAGTTTTTATTTACTTAATACTTTTCCTTAAATAGACTTACTGCTGACCAATAAACTTATTTTAAAAGAAAGTTTTGTATCATGGCTTTGATATGCTTGTTCAATTTTCCTAATATATATTAAAATAAACATCTAGCTATTAAATGTATAGCTACTAAACATAAAGCTATCAAATGTATAGCCATTAGATTACACATGTAGCTATTACATGAACATATAGCTATAAAACAGTCATATGTACTACCTAAGATAATGTTGATTACTCTCAGTGGTAACCTGCCTATGCTTTCTCCTCCACCAGAAAGGCCTTCCTAACTCTCCGTCTCCCCAAACTCCATCATCTTTCTCCAGAAGCCTTGGCAGCTTTTCCAGCTGCCTTCTCTGAGCTCCCCTCACATCTGCAGAACGAAATGCATAACCCAATGTTTGGATACTTACAAACATTTGGTTCTGTTTTATGTTTCACACCACAAGATTATAAAATATATTCTTAGAGTTATGATGACAGAGGTACAAGAGTATTCAACTCTATTGTTTTATAGGCTATCAGAGATATTAAAGGGCTTGTCCTAAACAATTGCCAATAGTGGGGCAAAGCTAAATCTAGAACTTGAGTCTTCTGATTCATTACTCTGAGTGGGGGAATCCACAAACACTTACTGGGTCCCTATAACGTGCTTGGCATTGTGCCAGGCACAGGAGCTAAGGGCGAATTGAATGGACTCAGATCTCATCCACAGAGAGCTTACAGTCTAGTCAGGAAGCCACACACTACACAAATGATTCTATACAATGAAGTAAATCATTGCAAGGGCACAAATGAGTTGGAATGGGACACTGAATAGGAGCCAGCCTAGTGTGGAGGGTCACAAAGCCTGACTAAGGAAGTAGGCACAGGAGTCAGCTGAGGAGGACCTGGGAGAGGTTTTAAATGGGTCCAGACCTGCTTTGGTATTGACAACTCAACTGGGTTAATTAGACCACTGTGACCTGTCCTATTTGTCACTATGCTCAGGGGGTAGGCAGCCAAGTAGCTCAGAGACTGTCCCACCTCAGAAGTAGCTCGAGTAGTTTTCCTCATCTGCATTGAGCAAGGTGCCAGGAGACGTTGCCAAACCTCTCTGGAGGAGACTCCTCACCTCTCACTGACAGAGTTTGGGCATCTTGCACATGTTGGTTATTTTGCCAAGGGAGTGCCTTCAATGTGAGCTTTGACATTAACAAAACATACAAAAACAAAAACAAAACAATAATAATAACAAAGGTAGTCCTTAGTTCCTGGAAACAGGAAATGGTAGTGTTACCACATTTACAAGGCACAATGCAAAGCTTCAGCTAGTTTCAATTAATTGGTAAAATGTGAATTCTTCCAAAGAGAGTGGATTTCCATCCATGAGCTGTATCCGAGTTTACCTGTATGCTTCCTTCTGGGTGTTCAGTGGGGGTGGTTAACCTATGTCTAAGCAACTCCAATGACATCCTGTCTTTGTCTTAGAAAATTAAACCTAACAAGCAACATGATATACAGTGAGGTAGCAAAGGGATGTGTTTAGATAGGGAGAGAGCCTGGGAATTCGACCTCTGGGTCTGCCTTTTACTGGAACTGGAGAATTGCTCCACACTTCTGAGCCATAATTTCTGCATCTGAAAAATGGGGGTAATAACAATTTCTACACTTTGTAAGATTCCTGAGACATTAAATGAGGATATGTATAAGAAGTCTTTTGTAAGATATAAAGGGCTACAAAATGCCACTTAAAAATCAACCTCCTGGTTTAAATTCTCTTTTATAAACTCTATCTGAGGCTCAAGGAGAGATGAAGTTGGAACAAAGGTTTCTTGACTTCTACTCAGTTTCTTTTTGCCAGGTCGCTGCACTGGGGCCTGCCTTCTGGTAGAGCAATTATTGGCAAGAGTGAGTGCCCAGGGAAATGAATACGTGCTGGGAGGGAGAGGAAGGGAGGAGAGTAGAGGGATCTCCAGCCATGGGTATGAGGGGGCAGAGGAAGGGGAGGGGACAAAGACAAACTCTCCTACCTTCTCAGTGTGCCAGGGCTCTGAGGTTAGGCCTTCTCGGGTCAGAGTTCTTTATTGCTGCCTTCTCCTCCTCTCTCAATTTGCCTGTCTTTGTGTGCCTGAAGCTGACCTAGCACAAAATAACATGCTTTTTAGAGCATTTTGAAAGCAGAATCAAGCTTTAATGATCAGTTTTTGGTTCCGTGGTATTTTCTTTGGAGCAAGGGCCATGTTTTTGTAAGATACTCCATTTCAATGGGGCTATTCTTTTGGTCCCAGAAAACATTCACAAGTGATAGATTTTAGGAGGTGTTCCAGTTTATCGCTTTTAGTGTCCAGTAAACTTGGAGAATCTGTCTTCATGCCCCACTCGAAGGCCATGTTATTTCAGAAAGTTACAGCTCTTAAAATTGTCCCTTAATAAAAGCAACTGCCATTAATTTTAAGGAACGTGAGCTTTCCAAATAAGTCCAGCTGTGAATGTTAAAAAAAAGAAGAAAAAAGAGGAACTTCAACAAGAGGAGTTAGTAAGTGAAAACTACACCCTGCAGAACTTTTTCAGGCATTTTCACAGCCATTTAAAAAGATGTCTTCAGTAAACTCATCTAAATTAGCTAAAAATGCTTGACACGACGGACAAGTTGTGTCTGTAGGCCAATATTCAATCCAAGTTGAGGAATCCAAAGGGTAGATGTACCTACCAAGAAAAAATGGAAACACAAGCTTTGTGATGATGGCTACACAGAGAGGGAAGCTGGGTCTGAAGTCCTTGATAAGAGCCCAGCTGGGGGCAGCTGTCAGCCACACTCTTCTGGATTAGCATGGGGAAGGGTCCCAAATCCTTAAAGGATTGTGGAGATGCCTGGAGTTCCCATGACTCAAGGCAGGAATGACATCTACATCAATGTCTGGTTTTTTAAATTTTTTTTTTTATTTGCAAACAGAACAGCCTGAGAACATAGTGAGCGAGTGGAGTGGTGATTCAGGGAGGTTGAGCTAGTGCTCATATTGACCCTCAGCTGCAGTCATTAGATGGCTTCTCCCTCAGTAAGTCCTCAGCTGTCAGGAGGATTTTCAGCAGTTCTTTGCTGTAAACTTGTATTATTTCATTTATGTTCATAATGGTTTGTTGGTTAACAGCAGGGTATATAAGAGCTATATAGGAATGAATTACACTCAGCTTTGGAGGGAAGATCAGAGACTGCAGAATATTGATGACTTACTTGAAGCTGAAATTGTGTTTTATCTGGAGGGCTGCTTTACCCATAATTAAATACTGTCTTCCTTTCACCAGTGCAGCATTAGCACAGGTTATCTTTTTAATGAAGGTAATTTCGGAGCCTTTCTCAGCAACAGCTTCGCCTGAGAGACATACAAGGAAGATGATCAAATGCACATTTTAAAGTCACAATTAGGAACTCAGTCAAGATATCCAGTTCCTCATGGCAGCTGGCTAGTGGCAGTATCCACACTGTTAAGACTTCAGGCTCTGAAGCCAGCCTGTCTGGGTTCAACTCTACCTGTACCACTTCCTGAGGTATCACCTGTGTGGCTCTGGGCAAATGATTTATGCTCTCTGTATAAGGGCTCAGTCCTCTCAGCTGAAAATGGGCAAAACCTACCTTGTAGAACTGCTGTGAGACAAAATGGGCTAATATATGACAATGCTTAGAATATAGGAAGAACCATATGTTTTTGTTATTACTCTTGTAGATGAACAGTATTAATCTCTAGATGTTATATAGCAAGATAGAAAAGTGTTCAGTAGCTGGAAACAGTCAACTTTGTAGATAAGTACAAGACATGAAAGACTTGGAAATTTTTAAGGAAAATAAATTTTGGCTTCCCAAAGGACTCAGAAGCAGCCAAGAAGCTGATTCCTGTTCCTGGAATGTGTTCCTCCCCATGTCAGCCTGTTGAACTTTGCCCATCTTTAAACCCACCTTTAACCCTCACAGTACTCAATAAACCTTCCCTGTTTACTCTTTGTCATGAAAGTAAAGGGCGCTGAGTCCAGGTCCTCACACATGCTAGGTGAGTGCTCTACCACTGAGCAACATCTGAATTCCTACCACAGTGTTTTGCCCACATCTGTTTCCTCAGGTAGACTAGAAACTTCTTGAGGCAGGAACTGTGTCAGGGCTCATATCCAACAATGAAAGTAAGACAGCCATTCTAATTGTTAAATCCTGAAAACATTTTGAACCTGTCAGTAAATGGTATGGAATAGTACCTGTACACATGGTAAACTTTCATTAGTAACATGAATTGTAGCATATATGCATTAGTTCCTGCTGATTTCCTTAGGCTGTTTCTACAGCAACATCCCAATCACAGGTCCAGTAGTGTCTGCCATTTCAGTCCCTGTCACAGTAAGCAGTGTGGGTACATGGAGCCTTATTTTCCACTTTTTGTGCTACTGGGGATTGACCCCAAGGGCTTTGCATTGAGCTACATCCCAAGCCCATTAAAAAAAAATTTTTTTTTAGATTTTGAGACAGGGTCTCATGAAATTGCTAAATTGCCCAGGCTGGGTTTGAATTTGTGATCCTCCTGCCTCAGCTTCCCAGAGTGTTGGGATTACAGGTTTGTGCAGCCTTATTATTTTTTTTTTCAATTTTTCATTTTTACTAGGAGATGTTTGCAATGCATAAGAATATATTCCTTCTGGGGAGTTGGTACATGTATATAACATATCTTAATTCTTCTCTCATCACCCAGTCATCTCTCCCTTCCCCTCCCTCCACCTCTTGGTCCCTTCTCTTTTGCAAAAGGCCAGTCTTATTATTTTTAAAAAGTTTTCTTGTTAGTAGAAAATTTCAACCATATTTAGAAAAAGACACAAAAAGATTAACTCATCGTCAACAATCATAAATCCCGTTTTCATCTATATCCTCACCTGCGGTAAGTACCCAATGCTTTAGGAGAAACACCAGTTTATCATGGTCCAGAAACTACATAGTTTAACCTTGATCTAAATAATTTATTGTCAGTGTGCAGCAATTCTTGTGTCAGTAGTATGTAGTTTTTTGATATTTATATAAGTTCAAATGTAATAAGTATTGAAAATGAACATCCAGAATTAGGGAGATTAAAATATGCAAAGGTTGCTTAACAGTTCCTTTTAAGTGTCATTAAAAGCTAATCTGAATCCATAGCATCTTGGGAATCATCTGACATTGCACAAAATTCAGAATAGTCTGGAATGTCTTTTGATACTATGAAGAAATAAAAGAGATGGTAAGAAACAGGGAGGTGGAGTTTTTTAGAGATGGGAAAAAGGGAACTGGGGAAGGGAAGAGAGGAAGATATGGGAAGGAAGGAGATAAAAATGATCAAAATTATACAAATAACTTATATACATGTATATATAAATTCGCCAACACAGATGTAATCATTATGTATCACAAATTATACTAATAAAGAATTATTATAGGGCTGGGGATTTAGCTCAGTGGTTTCGCTGCCTGCTGCACAAGCGCTAGGACCCGAGTTCGATCCCCAGTACCAAAAAAGAATTATTATAATTATTTAATATTATAAAGAATATTAAAGAATTGATACAAAGTAAAACAAGTAACTTGTATTTCTGGAATGAAAAGCACTTTATTACCTCAGTTAAAAATAAGGAATGGCTGGGCCGGGGATTGAGCTCATTGGTGCTACCACCTGCCTCGAAAGTGCAAGGTCCTGAGTTCAATCCCCAGTACCAAAAAAAAAAGAATGGGTTCTTATTCCTGTCATGTGGATGTTGAGAGCAAATGGTGCTGAAGAGTTGAATGGCAGAGAGATTATAGTGCTAAATACTTACCTACTTCATCAGAATGACAATCAGAAATTCAAATAAAGGAGATTTGTGGCTATCAATGAACAAATAAAATAACATCGCAGATCAATTTCATACAGTGAAATGTTTGAAATAATAAAAGTAGGAAATTTTTTTGTCAGTGTTGATAAAGCAAATAAAAATTTGTAAAGTATCATTAGAATTTTTAGCCTTCTCTAGAATATAGCTAAAAGTAATCAAATATTTTCAGGTTTGAGACACTTGATAGAATTTCAAGAGAAAAAATTGATATATTCTGCAATTTAGATATATGGTCTACTTATTGCAGAATTTATAGCTACTGAAATGAGCACACAGCTTTTTGGAAGATATAAATAAGGCAATAGTTAAATTTTAAGAAAAGTGTTTTAAGTAACTTAAAATGAAAGTTGACTTTGAAGATGGCTTATAGTTCTTTGTTGATCCCAAGCTACTAGAAGAAATAATTGAAAAACATATCAAACTGTTTTGCTGAGGTCTGAGATAAAAGGAGTCAGTGAGAGGTATTTATATGGACTTAAAAAAAATTTAATTAGTATATGTTTGTAGTACATAATGTTTACACTCCTTGTATGGAGTTGGTGTATGTATATAATGCATCTGAATTCCTTTTTTCATCTTCTTTCTATTCCCTTCCATCTCCCTCCCCCTATCCCTTGATCCCCTTCCCATTTGAGAAAGATTTAGCTCTACTTCCTATTATCTATCTTTTATTTTGTTCTGCATTTATAATCTGGGTTTCTCAAGATATGTCTCCTCAAGTATAATATAAACTTTAGGAAAGGAGAAACATGACTGTTTTATTCAAGTTATGACCTCTGTCCCTTATATAATGCTGGGCACATAGTACTAAATATTTGTTGAATGAAAGAAAGAATGAATTAATTCTTACCTGCTTTATAGATATCCAGGAGACTTGCGGTGTACTTGACAAAAACATTTTCTTCTGTGATGGATGTGATGCTAACTTTATAAGCTGGTAACAAAACAAAACAGGACGAAAGCTAGACAATTAAGGCTGAATACCACTGATGCCAGGTCCAATAAAAGCCAAAATTTGTCAAACAGATGAGAACTGAAGCCTGGCAAACTATTTTGGTCACCCTGAAGTTGATCTTATTTCTATCAAGGATCCTCCCCAGATCCCTTCAATCAAGCTGCTACAATCTTTAGCCCTGGGTGAAGAACAGGCTGATTAGGATAACAGCCATACTAAATAACAGAAGCACATGAAATAAACAAACAAGATCAACTTGTGTTAGAGGCACAATTCAGATGCAAATCCTTTAGGGACTGGTGGAGCCAGGCCCATGAGTACCCTCTGAATAGCTGCTCCCTTCCCTACATGGCCACAGAGGGAACCCTTATCTATCGATCCACATGAGCCACTTTGTTTCCTTACTTTGCTTCCTTGTACAGTTCCACCGGCTGTGATGTTTGGTTTTTTTTAATAGGATTCTGTTTTCTCACTTATTCTTGCTTAGATTAGCAAATATCTGATGTGAACCTTCCTCAATTCTGATTTCAAATGTTCAGGCATCGATGTTTCACACATGGTGTATTTGACCTCAGTTCTGGGATAACTAGTTTGAAGAGAACCATCCCTTCTGTTTGTCCTCATAAAAAAAACTTCTTTATTTTTCTCTTGTTAGGCTTGAAATGAAAGCCCTAAAATGTTTGTCCATTTTTGAGATCCTACCAGTCCATGAGCCTATCCCAGATGTAGATAAATGACTGACAAAGAGGTGAATTCACCATGGCAGATCACATGGTATGTAAATTAGTGGCTTAAAATATATGAAAAATGTTCCAAATTTTAGATTTGCAAGTTTCTGGTAGACATGGGCAAGGTACCTACTATGGGCGAGTGTTGAGAGGTAACTATTCTATTTTGTTTCCATTATGTTATTCCAGCAACAGCTTATAGTTTCTGGAAAAAGCCAGGTAAATAGTCTCTGGAAAGTGATACAATAAATTAATGTTAGATTTATTCTCTATGATGAGATAGATTTCTGATATTTCAGAGTTAAAATAGTTCTAAGATGGAGGGAAGAAATAATTCAGTGAAATTTTGTTTACTTGCGAAAACAATACCGTACTCTCTTCAGGTCTTGATATGTTTTTTAAACTGCAGTGGTTCTTGGCTAAGATAGGCAGCTTTTAAAGCTTTTTAAAAAAATCAAGATGAATTACACTAAATTTAATCTGATGGTTGTATTTCCACTAAAGGACTCCAGTAGACTGTGACGGAAATAGTACTGAAGACCAGGATGCATGCTAGTTCTGCTGCTTACTTCTTGCATGACCTTCAGCCAATTAAGCTCTCAAAACCTCAATTTCTTCACTGGTAAAATAATAATAAAGCTCTGTTGCCTCTCAGGGTTCTTATGGACCCCAATGAAAAACCACATATGAAATTAGTTTGTAAAGACAAAGTACCAAACCAGCTATCCTTATTTTTATTTACATATATACCCTTTTAGTCCTCAAAACTAAAGGATTTGAGATAATACACAGTATGATCGCCCCACCTTGTGTGTGTGTATGCGTGTATCTCTCCTTTTCTCTCACTCTCTTTCTCAAAATAAAACATCCAGAAATAAACAGGAAACTACGGATAGAAAAGAAAGAGCTAATTCTATCAGGAATTCGAGAACAGGCTATAAATGTACTTGTGCACTGATTTAGCTCTGAGCTCTGGACAGCCTGGAGTCTGAGCTCTGGATAATTCCTTTTGGAATGGAGAGAGTCTCAAACACAGATTAAAACTAAGTACACATTAAAAATTATTTAATAGATTTACTTTTATCTTGAAGAGATTTTTAAAGAACCAAGTCACCAAAATCTCACTTATTTCTGCCTTTGCTCTATCAGCTGGAAGAATACAAAACTGAAATCTTACACCTGTCTCTAGCTTCTACAAAGTTCCTTTTGAATATGTTTTTAGTGCCTGCAGTTCAAACACATCAAAGTGTCTTGGCTGGGTATGCATCTCAATTCCATTTTTTCTTTTTTTTTTTTTGGTACCGGGGATCGAACTTGGGACCTTGCACTTGTGAGGCAGGTGGCAGAACCACTGAGCTAAATCCCCGGCCCATAGTTCCATTATTTTTAATGAAGATTACATTTCCTTACTGATGAATAACTAACTTTTCACCTTCATGCTGAAAATTGATGACATTTTCCTTCAAGGGAAAAAATGGAATGCTGTATTTATATAATCACTATGTAAAGTTTATGATCTTTCTAATTGATCATGTATTCATAAAATTTCACATTTAAAAGAGTGCTATTAAACTTCTGAATTTACCATATGCAATTTCTGGTTTACATGCTGTTTCTTTCCTAGTATCTGCAGAGATTGTCAGATCCAATTCTTTCTCCATTTGCCCACAGTCAGCTGGATTATATGAAAAGAGAGAATAATTAGATTAATATAAAGAAGGAGGCAGTATCTTTGGGAGTAAACATGGTTTCTTATGAGCCCTGAAACAATCCAGGATAATCTTATAAATGCCAGAATCCTAAGATCTATTTTCTTCTCTTCCATAAAGCAAAACATTATTTGAAGCAAAAGCAAAACTAAACAAACAAAAATGAAATTGTGATCATAAGATTTATTCTTAGAATGGGCATTCACTAACATTTAACTCTTTAGAAATGTACATATTTCTCTTAACGAAAGGGGGAAATACTCCATTTTGAGTATACTCAAAATCCTTTGAAGGTCCTGAAATGATAACATGACTGATTAATAGCTATAAGATGGTGTAAAAAATACCTATGCAATGTGTAGCTATTAAGGATTTTGAAAATAAAACCAAAACCAACTCAGACCCTCATGGCACCAGTTGATTATTGGTGAATTCTGGATCTTTTCCTTGGTCAAAAAGACCATCTTTGATTTATAAAAGACTGAATGAAACTAGACAATAAAAGAAAACTCCATTAACCGGGTGGTATAAAGGGAGAAAAAGAGGAACTATTGGCTTAGTTCTGAGTCTCTTCTCTTGGGTTGTAGTCTTATGTTACAAAGATTGGGTGGATGTAGAAATTCCACACCATGTAACCCCGAGGGTAGAGGGTTGCCAACAACCATCTGGATGGTGTTTCTCTGCACCTGTATAGTTTTCTAGCAGGTTGTGTAGGAGCCATGGAAAAGTGGCTTTACAATGGTCATTCATCTTCAATCAGCTGAAATTTATTTCTACTTCTGAGAAATGATAGTTTACCAAACAGCTTCTCCCAGATTAACCTCAGATTAGGACTGGCTGCATTACATAAGCATGCAACCTATGCATGTCAGATGGAGTTTACCTTCTACACACTTGCATGTTGCTCCTTCACAGACTTTCTGAAGTTTGGTGTCAGAAGTGCTATAAAACATGGTACATTGTTTATCTGTGGCAAGAAGAGTGTGGTTACAAGAAGTGGCTTGATTGATGCACAACACATGTACTGATTAGTGTGTCTCTTACAAGGAACTTCGAGATTGCCTATTCCAAACACTTCTTATGGCTAAGGTCAAGAGTGGTTAAGTTATGAATTGGCTGTTCTGGGAAGGACCCCTTTACTGTCAAATAGATCTTCCCTTATTAGCTAAGTTCTGTGCTTGAAATTTTACTGTTCAATATTCATTTCTTAGGAAATGAAGGTTATTTGATGTTCCCTCGAATGAGATGAAAATAGCTACATGAAGATTGACTGAAAGAACTGTCATTATTTAGGCTTGGTGTCAGAGTTTGGTCCACTTTAAGAATTTTCTAACAAATAGAATTACCCAAAGTTGAATCATCTGTTTTATAAATCCATCTCTAATCACTTAACATTTCTTGGAAGTGGCTGAGTAGTCAAATTTGGGATAATTCATTCAGCAAGTATTTATTGTGTACACACAACACATTGAGTATATATTATGAACTTGACACTATGTTGGATATGCTAGGACTCTAGGGACACAAGGATGAAAATATTTTGACTGGGTTGGTAAGTAAGAAAGATATGTAATGCCATATAATATCAAGTAATTTCAATACAATGTGACGATCATTGTAATATGGCTTACTGCAAGTTGCAATGAGAATACAGACAGGTAGAAGTTGTTCTAGGAGGACTAATGAAACAGAAGATTAAGAGTAAATGGGCTTCTCTTAAAGGAGTGATACAGTGAATATTGACAATGAACACCATGAATTAGTTTGAGGCAAAGAATTTTAAAGGTGAGGGCAATGTACTCCAGTTATTTTTTAAAAATGAAGAAATTGAGGACAGCGATGTGAAATGATTTTCTCACTGTCATGAAGTAGTTTGAATACAATAGTTAAGAAAGCTTGTATGCAATGGTTTGAATGCTCAGGTTGAGAGGTTTATGAAGTAGGTATTAAGAGAAGCCTTGTACAATTTATAGGCCTTTAGTGAATTTCTAAAGGTTATGTAATCTTCTGAAGAAATTTTACAATAGACTTGATTACCTGGTCTGTGATATTCATATACTGTGAAAGTAGCAGGATTCAGAAATCCAACTTGAAAAAGTTCAAATATCCGGAATCGGACACAAAGGAAATCAGTGGAGGGAATCTGTTTGACAAATTCAGGGATTTAAGAAAATTACAAGGAAGAAGATATTTGCAATAGTTTAGGCTTAAATTTTGAACAGTGATAGTAAGGGGAAAATAGCAAGAGGTGAAGCTTACCGAATTCAGTTGCAAAATAACATGTCCCTCTTTGACTTGGTAATCAGTTAATAGTTGATCCACCCCCTCCACAAGCTAAGGAAGGAAACAGAAAAAAAGAAGTTTGAACTTAATTTCATTGTCCTAATGCTTAATTGCATTCATCTGTTGGTGGGCCGTTAAACCACAGGCATGTGATCCACTATTTAGAGAAGTTGAAGAGCAGTTCTTAAAAAGTTTGAACACGTTTGTACAAGCACTCACATTTTTTGGACCATGATATACTCCTGATTCCCTATTATAAACCAAAACTTAGGTAGATTGTTGTTTTGGAAAGAATATTTAGCTAACTGTATAAAAGGGACACATGAAAATGAAAGCCTATATGTTGTCTATAAAAGAATGCAGAAAAGATATCCCAAGCATTTACAACATGTAAAAGAAAACACTTGCAGCTCGTAAGTCTTCTTGGTTTGCACTGATTCCAGTAGGCAGAGAGATATCCATCACCGCATGGGAGGACCCAGATGATGATTCCTCCCTGCTGGGCTTGTAGCTAAAACAAATAAGAGATTTGGAAATAGAACAAATATATGCACAACATTCTTTAAGAAAGGGCCTTATTCATTATCAGGCTTTACTTTTTGAAATTGGGTCTCCATTTATTTGGTCCTCTATAACACAGGGGTCAGAGTCTTTGAATTTTAGAGTTGCAAGAGATCTTTAAGTCATCTATTTTAACTCTTTACTCAGCTAACCAATAATTTCAATGGACCACCATTCTGGAGCACAGAAGTCATGCACTCCAAGTGAACTAGCTGTGGAAACTGAGGAAGAAAGAAAGGTATTCGTTCAAGGTTACACAGCTAGTGCAAGCAGAGCTTCATACAAATCCAGGTTTCTTGGTTATCACTGTACTTCTTTTTCTAATGGACAACGTTCAAAGTTAAAATGAGGTATGAACGATTGATCTCCCTATTTGGACAGGTTGGGGGCAGAGAGAGCATGCTCTGCACAAGCTGACCTTCAGGCTTGAGAGGCAGCTGTAAATTGGAGGCTGGAACTTGAAGAACAGTCAGGATGAAAAGAAGAAACTGAGAAGATGGCTTCATAAAGGGGGAAATGAATTAACCCCCTCCAGTGTAATAAATATTAGTGAAATGGGAGATACATGAGGTAGTGAGGTGTCAGGGCGTATGTTTTTCTCAATTATACCTTAGAGGGCCTATATAAAACAGTCCCTGTTAGAAGCTTTAGATATAATATTTACCACATAGTTAACGGTATTGGAAAATCTCCGACTTATAAAAATGTAATCCCATCCTCTGCCAAATGCACCATTTAGGACAGAATGTAAAACATCTCTGAACTGCACTGTGACATCAAGCATCTCCTTAATTGGATGGGTAGAAGCAAAGAACTCTTGCTCACAGATGCAAATACTCCATCAACAGGATGGAAAAGGGCCTCCAGGGTGGAGTGTCTATGAAAAGGTTGCTGGAGCCTTGATGACTGGTTGCCGTGGAGACCATTTCAACCAAGGAACAGAAATCCTCCTTTCAAGAAGCCCTTTGCCTGCTGCCAAAACCAGCAATCTTCCCCAAAGGCATTTTGTTGCAAGAGAAATTAAATCCTTTTTTTTTCTTTTCTTTTTTTATGATTACAACAGAGAGGTTGTAAAAAGCTAAATATAAGAAAGAGAACCTCTGAACACTGAAACTGTGTGCTGGCATTTTTTAATCAGGAGAGAGAATATTTGAAGGCAAAGAATTTCTTACATGAATAAGGACTACACAGTTACGTTTGGAATTTACCCAAACTAACTTCAGTGTCACAGAGCCAAATGCATATTCCACCCGCCTTTCTTGAACATGCTGTCTCCAATTTGTAAAAACCAAAGGACAGAATATTCAGTATCACATTTTTACTTGCTTTCCTTTGTGACGATGTGGAATTAGGCCCCCTGTCAATGAAGTTAAAAGAATGAATTTTTGGTAAGGGCCTTTTTATATATAGTAGAGAGATAGACATTTGGAACTGGCAGAAAATTTGAGATGAGATAGTCCAATATCCTTGCTTTATGGGTATATCTGGAGAAGTAGGCTTATTTGCTGAAGGTCACTTGAGTACTTCCTGACAGAGGATACCCACAGGTGGCCCACTCCATTATCAGAGAGTCCGTGCCAACTCTAGATGCCTCCCTATGGAGTCTCATGTGTTGATTCTAGCTCTGCTCACAAGTTTGCTCACACCTCCCTGTGACCACTGTTATGGGTTTAAAGGTAACTATGATTGTGCCCCTATAGGCACTCAAGAGTAGGAATGGTAGTTAGGAGGGAGGAAGCTGCTAGGAAAGAGTCAGGGAGTGAGGAAAGATGTTTGAGAAGGAACAGGGAATGGTGGAACCAGGAAGCAGGGAGCAGGAAGCAGGAAGCAGGAAGCAGGCAGGAAGCAGGGAATGCTGGAAGGATGGAATGCTGCCAAGGAAGCAAGCAGGCTGAGATAGTTGAAAGAATCTGAAGAAGAGCAGTGGGATCAAAATCACAAACAAGGCTGAGGAACAGCAAGGAGAGATGCGGTAAAAAACAACTTATTTTTTCTTGGGACTGATGGTCTTGGGTTATTCTGATTGAAAGAGTTGGCTGGGATACTAGATCTGACATCAGGGATTAGGTATTTGAACCCTTGGCTCTGCCTCTATGAAAACTTGGCAGGTCACTTTATCTTTTAGAGTCTCATTTTCTTTATTTCTAAAATAGGATTTCTGTATCATTCCCAAAGTCCTTTTCTGCTCTAATCTATAACCCAACCTTACTAAATTTTCAGGTTATCCATACTGAGTGCCTTGGTAGTATGTTTGATTGTAAATAAAAACAGAAAAATATCATTTACAGGTACTGCTGGTGTTAACAATAGAAAGAGTAAAGAAGACAGAGCACAATAGGAAGGATTGAGGGGTAATGGAGGGAAGAGAGAAGAAAGCTGTATTCAAGTTCTGTCTTTGGCACTGATTAACTTTTTGTGATCACTTATGCAAAAAATATACGCATATTTTCAAAACAAGTGTACATTCCATGAACACTTTAGGATGGTGGCTGTGATAAGCAGACTAATAGCCCTCAAGGATGTCCTTGTCCTAATCGCTAGAACCTATGACTGTTACCTAATGTGGCAAAAGGGGCTTCACAGATTAAGGATCTAAAATTATTGTAGATTATCTGGGTGGGCCCAATAGAACACAAGGGTCTTTATAAAAGAGAGCGAGAGAAGGATATGATAATGGAAACAGGGATCAACAGAAAATGACTAGAAAACTCTGTAGTGCTAGCATTGAAGATAGAGGAGGAGGCTGGAAGCCAAGAACACAGGCAGACTAGAGTCTGGAAAAGGCAAAGAAATGGATTCACCTCTAGAGTTTCCAGAAGAAATACAGTCTCACCAACTCCTTGATTTATAACTTCTGACCTTTAGAATTCTCAGAGAATAAATTTGTATGAGGTTTGCAATAAATTGTTACCTTACAGCAACAGGAAATGACATTGGCCAATTTAGGCCTCTGTATTTAGTCAGTTAGAGTCTTAACCTTTTCTACACCAGAATGGCTTCAGGGGTGCGGTCTGAGACGCACCATTTCTGATGGATTTGACAGCAATGTGCAGCCCAAGCTGAGAATGGCTGAGAATTTTGCTGGTCGAATGTGATTTTTCTAAGAGAGTGCTTATAAGTGAATCTTTTTCATTTTCTTCTAGAATATTTAGATCACAATACCCTTCTGAAAGACCAAAAAAAAAAAAAAATCAACAACAACAAAAAGAAACTACTGCCATACTGTTTAAATCATAAGAAGACAAAAACAGGAGAGAAAACTATATGTGAGCAAAATCAAAGCAAGTATTTAAGAATACTTGCTATATTCTGCATTTAAAAAATGAACACTTTTGTATCTTCTGGACATCTTAAAATTCAAAAAGATATAAAGAAATAGTATAACAGAATTAAAATATTGAAATCTATACTCTGCTTTGTGCAAATGGCTCACCTGGCACATGCTACTATGCGCTTGTATCCTGAGTCACTGAAGCCACTGTATCTGGATGCTAGTAAACAAATAAACAGGAAGTAAACTGTTTTTAGTTGTTTTGGAACTTGTCAGAACAGATCATTCATGAGAAAGTCTGAGCACGCTTAAAAAACATTTGTGATTTGAAAATTGGCACTTCTGGTGATTTTAATAGAAATTCTTGGCTACCTACAATACCAGGAAGACTTCAAATAATTAGAACAGTTCTCTGCTGTCAAAAGATTTATAATTTCAGGAAGAAAACTGTTTAGTACACGTAGATATTGGCAATGTGTTTGGGGGATGTTGAAGGGAGGGTTTGCTGGTAGTTGGAAGTTTCCTGTAGGAACGGGCCACTGAGCCACAAATGGAAGCCGTTAGAGCAGAGGCAGTAGCATACACTGCCCTGGGGCAAAGGGTGGAGGAAGAGGACTGGAGATAGCAAGTGGACTTGCTTTGGGTCAGGGAAGTGAGATTCAACCTGCAGAGGCATGGGAAGTCCACAGGCTTTTAAAAAAAGATGGAGGCCTCATCTTTTCATCCAGAGAGGATGGAAAGACCATCAAGATAAAATAGAGGCAGAGAAATGTGCACCTGCTGGACCTTGTGGAGGACAGAAAGGCTAGGGATGGAAAACTAACAGGGTTACAGGAAAATGAGGGTCCTGGAATGAAATACCAACACAAACATAATGGAAATTCAAATGAATTAGACCTTTTTTGTGGTCTAATTTACAACCTGTTATGTTCTTTAAAAGTAATATAATCAAAACATCTTTATCATAGTGAATACAGTTACCTAGTTATTAAATTATTTAGCATTAGTTTCTATTATTAAAGAGTTACATCCATTATAATAAATGGCAGAAATGTTCGCTTGGATGTCAACCTGCTTGAGAGTTGAATTAAAATATTTTGTTTTTTTGAACAAGCACATTTTCCCTACTAAGGGAAGCTCTCTATGTGACATTATGTTTAAGCCCAAATTACAATGTAAATCATGCTGTTTTACCTTTAATGTCCTGGGTATCAATTTTCAAATAAAAGCTGCAAACTTCCTCAGAGGTACTCGTTTTATGAACTACAGTTTTTACCTACATTGGGATATGGAAACAAGATTCTGTTTAAAATAGGAAAATGAAAAAGGTATTATAGCAGTACTGCTACAGCAAATGGGATGCTTGAAGTATCATTTTCAGCATCCAGGAGGAGTGGGGTACATAAGTACTCATTTTCCCAGCAGCTGGACTTTCAGCACACTCCATAGTCTGAAGCAAAGCTGAGAAGCAAAAAATGGTCTCAGGTCATCAGTCAAATCTGAACTCCCTAGTCTACAGGAAAGATCCCAAGTTCTCGTCCCTGATTCTGTATACTTTAAATTTACACATAACACTACAAGGCTAGGAAGTGTGATTTTATCCCAGGCGACACACCATCAAGGTAAATAACAAATTCTGGGTGTGTTTGGATGGGCAAAGGTGTTGGCAGTAGTAACAGGGAAGCTGATAGTCCACTCTCTCTCATGCAGTCTTACATACAGTCTTGGAAGGAATAAGTGTGAAGCCACCAATAAAATGTTAATTTCTGCTCAGAATACAGTTTAAGACAGCGTGGCCATTCATAAAGAGTTTAGAAAAGCTTGTAATGGCTAATTGGCTAAAATAAAGGAAACTTAAATCTTTTTCTTTTTTTGGTACCAGGGATTGAACTCAGGACCTTGTGCTTGCAAGACAGGTGCGGTGCCACTGAGCTAAATTCCCAGCTCAGAAACTTAAGTCTTTACGTATAACACATCAAACCCCAAAGACGCTGACTAAATGAGATGTGACTATGTCACCAACCACAGAAAACATATACACACATATGCATATATAATGTATTGGATGCATACACACATATATAATAAAAATTACATATCTATATACAGACACATACCATATAATCACGAGGACATGTTCTGAAAAATTAGTCATTAGGTGATCTCAACATTGTGCAAACGTTATAGGGTATATTTACAAAAACTAAGAAATTATGGTGTCACTTGGGATATAATCTTATGTGACCACCATTGTATATGAGGCCATCCTTGATAGCAATATCATTAGGCAGTGCATGACTATATACAACTATATACTATATAATTTCTGCAAATATACAGAAGGTATCCTTTTATGTATATATGAAGATTAACGTAGTCAGTATCAAAAAAAATTCTGAGAACAGCTGTTCAAGATAGCCAGAAAGAATTAGGTAATTTTTTCAAATCCTACTTTAGTCATGGTTATCCAAGCTCAGATATCTGTGATTTTGTGGCAAAGTCCTTAACCTAGTACACATGGACATATCACTTCTTACTGGCTCTCAACTAAATACTCACATGTACTGTAGCCAAGCCGTTGCTATATCCTGTACTGATGATGAGGTCATCATTGAGAGGCACCTGGAAAGATGGATAGAGAAACCATGTTTCAATCATCATCATTTAATAGGTAGAGAAGATACAGCGATGAAAAGAGTGAGCTGACACTTCAGGGCTCTCCTGAGATTAAATGGATAAGACGTTGGAAATCCTATGCCCGCAGTCGGCCCTAAAAGATGCTGGAACTTCCTCTTTCCCTTCCATGTGTAAATAAGATATCTGCAATCTCCTGAGTGAGCCAACAAACCCAGCACATCAGGGGTCACTTTTGGCTGGATTTTTATTCATGGTTACAGTAAAGCTGGATCTTCATTTCCTTTTGCCAACTGAATAAATTTCTTTTAGTATCTATAGCTCAAGAATCAGCATCCACCAATAGAGATTATTTCAGCATCTGATGTGCGGTTGGAGGCTGTTTTCATTAGCACTGGGATTCGTGGCTCTAAAGTGGGTGCAAAATATCTTTCACCCTCTCCTGTCTCCCCTTTTGCAGCCCTCTTCTACATCTTGATGCTTCATCTTGCTTGCCTGTCACTGGCCGTTGTCCAAACATCTGGGACCCTGCCCCCATTCCCCAAGCCTGCTAAATCCATTGCTATTTCCCACTCTGCTAAGAGGAAAGTGAAGACATGAACTCCCTGCCAGAGAAAGTCTGTGATCCAAATGCCCTCTAATTTCTGGAAAGTACGGGAGCGATCATTTTGAGCAAGAGCCTGAAAAGTCAGCTCTTCCTTCATTACAAACCTGCAACTTCCCCTTTCCTTTGCCTAGCACACAAATGCAAACAGAATTTGCAGTGCATTAAAGTTGCTCAATCCTTCTTTCCAATTTTAGTAAACCTAGGAAAATTGGCCACCTTTACTATTCTCCAGACAGAACACAGCAGCCTTTTGCGGAGAACAAGTGCCTGGAGATGCTACAAGAAAAAAGGTTCCTATGACAAATAAGTTTGGGAAACACTGTACTATTGTGCCCTGTCTCTTTCTCCCAGTCACCACACTTAGTTACATACATATGAAAGAACAGGAGACTCCTGTATTGAAAAACTTGCTTAACTTCATTCAAACTAGAGTTTCCATGCTTACTGACCATTTGACTTTCCTTCACGTAACACATTTCAGGAAATGCTGGTATAGGGAATTCCAGGTTAGATCACTACAGTCCAGGTTTCACATAGAAGCAGTGTCTTGGGCTCATGTTTATGCCATTTTAAGAGGAAAAGAGGCCCATTAAAGCATTTCTCCTATAGAGAAAAATAATTCCAGTTTCTTTCAATAGGTCTACCATGTTCCTCAGGCTGACATCTCTCCATTTAAGTTTAAATTTAGAACATGAATCTCTGGCAAATTCTAACTGCTCCCAGGGAAAGGAAACATATTTCTAAACTGAGGAACATTGGTAGAAATGCCTGCAGGCGGCAAGCAAGTATGGACATAACTGCAAATGCATACAACATGCAACTGGTAGGTATTGCAACAAATTGATAAAAGCATGCCTCATCATTTGGTTTTTCAAGGGAAGGTGAAATTCGATTTGTATTTGAAATCTCTGTTCTTTAAATACTGACGTAGATCTATGTGTATGTCTTTTTTTTTTTTTTTTTTGTACTGGGGATCGAACTTGGGTCCTTGCACTTGCGCAGCAGGCAGCGAAACCACTGAGCTAAATCCCTGGCCCTATGTGTATGTCTTTATAGCTATAGCTTTCCTCTTTTTCATTATGGGCCAACAGTTTGCAATTTTTGTATTGAATTTTATTTTTCATGCCTATTTATTTTTCACAAGCATAAATTTGTGGAGGGTGAACAGTGTGTGAACAGTGAGTACTATTCCCAATTATTTGTATATTTAATACAAACATGATGATTAGAAAAATATGTATTAGTAGCTGTATCCTGGCAGCTAATAATAATATACAACCTACTTTTCCCCAATGTTTCCTTTTCCTTGGGAAATTTTCATAAGCCAAAGTTTTCACTTTTAAAAATCCAGCAGTAGCAAAGGACATGAGGCAAGGAATTTGGAAATTTAAAGGCCAAATGTTAGACAAATACCCCATTTCCAGCCTGGATCAAGGGCCTCTCCTTCTGTATTTCATGTACCCATCAAGGCTCTTAGTTTTCACTGTCTGTTTGAATGACTATCTCTCCCCAGTGCACAGGGTCTTTGGGTTTTATCTTTGATACTTTTTTTTTTTTTTGGTACCAGGGATCGAACTCAGGACCTTGTGCTTGTGAGGCAGGCAGTGGCACCACTGAGCTAAATCCCCAGCCCTTTGGGTTTTATTTTTGAACCCCAGTGCTCAAAATATAACAGGCACCCCTGCCTAGGACACAGTGGATACTCAACATATGTGGTGAAATACATTTGTAAAATAAGGGTGGAACAGGTGATTTATTTAAGTGGTTCCGTGCAACTGTAAAACATTATGAAAAATTCTTTATTTACCTCCACAGATCTCCCAAGGAAATTCTTGTCTGTCACTTTGTAATGATAGAAGTCACCTTTGTGCTTGTAGGAGACATTGATATCCATATTCAGTTGGAGTTGTTTAATGAGGAGTGAATATTCTGTCAAGCCCTCGATGGCATTAATTGTATCCTATCAACAATCAACAAGGGACAAAAATATGTTTAGCTTATTTACATAATCCATGAGTACAAAAGGGTAGGGAACATTGTCTAGAGACAAAACTCCACTTGACTGAGTGAAGCCAGCTAAGGGCCCCATTGCCTTCCTAATAAAGTTGTTAGCAGGAATAGGAAGGAAATACGGCTTCCTATCTGCATCTTCTCTGTACTCTGCATGTCTAACCTCAGGGAAATCACTCCTGTGGAATGACTCCAAGCCCCCAGTTCTGCTTGATTATCTTTCTCATTCTTCAATCTTAGACTAAATACTTCCAAACTCTCCTTTTCCATTATTCTCTGTTTTGATGTTTATTTTCTGCCTATTATATCAATTTATAAAATCATCTATCTAAATTTATAATAATTTTATGTATAGATACTTTATTGTTGACCCTCCTATTTATAATGTGAGATTCATGGGACAAGTAAGTAGCATATATTTCTTGGTATTTGCCATAGTTTGAATATATTCCCTAAAGTTCTTGTGTTGTTACTTAATCTCCAATGTGGGAAAGTTGGAGGTAGAGTCCAGTGGGAGGAATTTAGGTCACAGGAGTGAGTGGGTTCCTTATAAAAGAATGAGTTTGTTCTCTCTGGTGTTCTTTTTGTGTTTCTTCTTGCCCTCTCTCTGCCCTTCCTGCATGGGATGATGCAGCAAGATGGCCCTTGCCAGACACTGGCCCCTGAGTCTTGGACATCCCAGTCTCCAGAACCATGAACTAATACATTTCTGTTCATTATAAATGACCCCATGGTGGTATTCTGTTATAGCAGCACAAAACTGACTGAGAGATTACCCACTGCATTTAGTAGATACATATGGCAACTATTCAATATGTATTTGTTGAAGGAACAAATGAATGAACTGTATCACTCCTTCATCTTCCTTATTTATAGAATCAGGAAATGTGGCTAGATCAGAGATGTTAAATATGTGGTTCCACCCCCTGCCTATGTCCATGGTAGTCAGTGTTATCCAACAGGGCACTCATTTCTGTTAAGCCTCCAGTTGCACTCAAGGTAAAACCCATTAGACGTTCATTAAATCAATTGTAAAGGATCCTCGTGCCTCCAAATCTTATATGTATACAGATACACACTCTAGCATTATCTAAACATCCTGGAGGCAGGGAAGATTTTAACACTTGAGCTAAACTTTGAAGACAAGTGTACAGTCATGTACCACTTAATGGCAGAAATATACAAATGTGCTGTGTAAGTTGTTGGCCTGCAAACATCTTGGAGTGTACACACACATGCCTGGGTAGTATAGGCCAGTGAGGGCGAACCTTTTAGAGCTTTCAGTGATACCAACAGCCCTCATGGCACATGTGCTATAGGTTCATCACCAATGGTATAGGTCAGTCACTCAATGTGGGCTCTTGACAGAGTCAAGGGACATGGTGAACATGAGGTGCATGAAGCTGTTGTTGGTAAACTTTTACAGTAAACTTTTTTACAGTAAACTTTTACAATAAGTAGAATGAATACATGTTAAGATAGTGATAAAAAGTATAGCAGAGAGGCAGAGAATGTGGAGGTATGTGCGTAGCATGGGCAAGGGCCTAGGTTAGACTCTCCCCAGCAAAAGTATAGTATAGTAAATATACAAACCAGTAACACCACTGTTTATTATCATTCTAGCCTTCATCGCCAAATGTATGCTACACATATGTGCTATGCTTTTATATGATAAAAAGGTAAATAGGTTTGTTTATACTAGTATCACCACAAATTTGTGAGAAATGTATTGAACTATGCCCTTATAATTACTACTATGTCACTAGACAATAGGAATTTTTCAGCTCCATTATAATCTTATGGAAAACTTGCATATGCAGTCTGTTCTTGACAAAAATATCATCATGTGGTACATGACTATATATTATGCAACTACATAATAGTTGTAAATATGTATATATACAATACTCTAGTGATTGATATGGGAATAATCAGTGTTTCAGTTTTTATTTTTTGCAGGGAAGAACATCAGTATTTTCCTCTATATGGCAACCACTATTTATTACATAGAATATGATAAAAATGCTGGTAGTCTTACTAGACTTTCACAGTCATTAAGAATCACGAAAGGAAGCACCAGGCTTAGTCTCAGGAGATACGAATGCTGATCTTGGCTCTGCCACTGAATCTCTGAATGAATCTTGCTGGACATATTTCTTCCTCTGCAGCTAATCTCTTTGGGTCTTTCCATTCTAGAGATTTGGTGGATGAAGGCATGGAGGCCAGATTGAGTGTAGAAAGTGTGGTGTGGGAAACAAAACGGACATAGGAGAATGAAACAAGACAAAGACATATACCTGGGTTGAATAAAAGCCGCCTCCATACCTCTGCTCTTCTGATAGCCATTTGATGATTGGGTTGACATAATTCATCTCTTTTAAGTTCAGGCTGGTGAGTAAAGCATAAGAAGTGGTTTCCACCATACCTGCTGTACCAGCATTAGGTGCAGAGGTGTCTATAAGTTGGAGGCTGTCTTTCCAAAAACGGTAAATGGGTGGATCACCTGATATCAACACATCACATTTGTTAATATGATTAAAAACATGAATTTGACATAATTATAGCATGTATACTAAGGCCTTCTGGTTTGTAGGAGCCACCTTTTTTTGTTTTTTTTGTTTTGTAGTAAGAACTTCCTCAAGGTGACCAACATTAATACAGTGCTATTCATCTTTATTTATAAAGGCCAACGTGGAAAGGTCAGGTGTACCAGGGAGAGATAGGAGTTAGAATGGAACGGGCTATAAATTGGGAATTAGTAGACTCAGGTTCTAGTCTCTGCTCTATTACTAATCAACTGGGTCAACTTGGGCAAGGACTCAGTTTCCTAGTATTGGAGGTAGACAATACTTTCTTCTATACAGTGAAACTCAAGTGAGATGCTAAATGGAAAAGTATTTGCAACCAAAAAGCACCATGCACATATAAAGAATTACTATTGACATAAGTTAGAGAACCATTCTCCTTGAAAAATTCACATCCTGAAAGTTATGAGATCATACCCAAATCCTTATTTAAGTCTTCTATTACCTCCTCTCAATTTAAGGCACCAAAGACAATTTCATATATGCAACACTTTTCATAAATTGTATTTGTTTGTTCTTATTCAGTGATGTAAACCAGTCACTTGAAATCCTTTTTGGAACAATATTTTTAAAAAACAGTGAAGTATATTTTGATCTTTTTTTTTTTGGTAGGTACCGGAGATTGAACTCAGGACCTTGTGCTTGCGAGGCAGGCGACAGAAGCACTGAGCTAAATCCCTGGCCCCTAAAAACCAGTAAAGTATATTTTGAAATTATTTTTGAAGGTTGGTCAAAGTTTTGATGTACCTGTTTATAATTCCTTATTACATTATTGTCATGATCTTGGACAAGATACTTTCCCCTCCCTCTCAGAGAGTCAGATTTGCTGTATTTAATACGAGCTTTGAAAGAAACTTCCAGCTCAAAGATAATTTAAATCAGTAAGTTCCCTCTAGTTCCTAAATTCTATGATTTTATGGTCCGTAACTTATAATACCCAAGAGATTTATTTTGTGTTATTTTTGAAATACCATATAAATGGTTTTGAGGTATATGTTCAAATTTACTCATTTGATGACAGAAGTGAAATTTTATAGATGGCCATAAATCTTTTTTTTTTTTTTTTGGTACCGGGGATCGAACTTGGGTCCTTGTGCTTGCACAGCAGGCGGCGAAACCACTGAGCTAAATCCCCGGCCCTCATAACTCTTGTGTAAGATTTGTAAAACTTTGAGAAAACCTAGCTAGGAGAGGGCTCACAATGGCCAACCGCTCCACTACCTCAGCCACCTGGTAAGATACAAGGCAGGTCACACCCTCCTTTGCTCAGAGTTCTCCATGGTTTTCCTTCTCGTTCAAAGTGGAAGTTAAAGTTGTATGACTCCTTCTGCCCTCGCCCCTCAGCACCTGGATGTGCATGAGATGCAGGCAGCCCTTGCTCTGGATGGAGGCTGCTCTACACCTGTGTGGCTTGGGAGGAGAGTACGGGCTGGATTTCAGCTTGACTCACCTGGTTGCTGCTGTGGTTCAAATATGCCTTGTCCGCACCGAAACTCACGGTGGGGCTTGGTCCCTAGTGCAGCTGTGTAGGGAGGTGGGGCTACTAGGAGATGTTTTGCTCATGGGGGTGGAGCCCTCATGGATGGATCAATGCTTTTCTTGTGGAACAGGTTAGCTATCCCAGGTGTTCAGTGCCCCTCCTGTCTTCCCCATGGGCCCACTTCCCATGCGCTTTCCAACATGAGGTATCCAGAAGCTGAGCAAAGCCTGGGGGCATGCTCTTGGACTTAAAGAATCATGAGCCAATCTAAACTTCTTTCCTTTATAAATTACTCAGCCTCTGGTATTCTGTTATAGCAACAGAAAAGGGATCCAGGCAGGTGGCTTAACACTGCATGACTGCACACTGAAGCCATGAAGAGTCCCTGTAATGATCTCTAAACTGCTATGCAGCCTTCCCTCCCCCTTTCTTTCCCTGATTTCACTTCCTACTCCTCATCTCACTCCTCTACAATCACACTTGTCTCCTTGCAGTTCTTGGAGCACCACATATGCTTTTGTCTCAGGGCATTTGCACATGCTGTTTCCCCCTCAGAAACACCCTTCCAGCCACCCACATGGCTTGCTTCATTATTTTCTTTCAGATCTCCACTCAAATAGTCATGAGCTACATGATGACATTTCAATGAGGTCCATGTATACAACAGGGCCACGTGGCTTAGGCCTATAGAATGCTGTGGCATCTGTTGTGTGTAGTACTCTCTGTGAGGTTCATACAATGGCAAAATTGCCTAATGATGCATTTCTCAGAATGCATTGCCATCAAGTGGCACACAACTGTACCATCTTTCCAGGGAGGCTGAAATCCAGTCACGCTATCTAATCCCAGAACCCATCCCCTTGCTTTATCTCCTTTCGCTGTTTTATTTTCCCTTATTTCAGTCATCACCAACCTATTCACAAAATTTTACTTATTTATTTTGTTTGTCTCCCCCCAGTTACAATGTAAGTTTCATGAAGATGTGGATATTTTGGGGTGGTCTTATCTGTTGCTTTATCCCTAGAACCTAGAACAGTGCCTGGCACACAGAAAGTATCATAGGATATTTAATATGCATTTGTTCAATAAAGGAATAAATAAATTTACCAAGTGGATTAATAAATGAAGAGCATTTATTGCATTGTATATGATGTTTTGGTCCTTGAGAGAAAAGACTGTGTTTTACTCAACTTTGCATGCCACTCACTTCCCAGAATTAGCAAACTCTGTGGTTGGTAAATCCCTGTTGAATAAATGCACAGAACGAGGCATACCTTTAACCGAAGCTTTCTTCTTCAGGGCTGAAGCAATGGTACGAAACTGTGGATGTGTTTTATCTCCCAGGGAAAGAGCATAGGCCACAATGGCCAGTGTAAAGGTGTTCTCGGATGGGAGGGTATTTTCAAGCAGAAAGGTGTCAGCTTTAGTGAGAGCAGTGCTGATTTTCTGGAAACAAGGACAGAAAATGTTTGTTAAGTGTCACAGCACTCAGGTGCACTGTCCTGGGGCAGGAGAGGTGAAGAGAGGACGAGGACAGCTGAACGGAAGCGGATGATGGCTCCGCAATGCAAGTCCTCCTGAGAAGGGGTAGAGCATGACTTCAGAAGAAGAAGGTGGCTGTCCAGATTGGGTTAAGCTTTTGCCTCTGAATTCCCTTGTTCCTCAGAGAGCTTTTATCTCTTAAATTCCTGGCTCCAGTATCAGGCCCAGCGTCCAGGAAGAAGCAGCACCAACAATATACATGGCTTTCATCCTTCCTTCTTTGCATATCTGAGATAGGCTCATACGTTCCAAAGAAATTATACTTAAAAAATAATAGGGCCGGGGATTTAGCTCAGTGGTGCTGCTGTCTGCCTTGCAAGCGCAAGGCCCTAAGTTTGATCCCCGGCACCAAAAAAACCACAAAAAAACAAAAACCAAAAACATAAACAGCAGGAAAACAGGCCATCTGCCAAAATACTTTCTGATCCTGTGAACTCCTAGGAAAAGAGTCCCTGTCATTTTATGTTGAGGCCACTAGAAGGGTTTCTGGGGATGAGTGGGTCAAGAGAAAGTCTGAAGAAGGCCACTAACATCTGGCCTGGCTCCTTCTCTCCCAGCTCCCCCTGTGTCTAGTGCTCATGTGGCCACTGGTCCCAGCTGGTCTTGGTTGATAATTTTGTCTTCAAAGTAAACACCAATGCTTATGAAACAAACTAAAAGAATAGTTGTGCTTTGTGTTTCAAGTTCCGCAAATCCTCTTGGGTTTTTCCATCTCAATTCTGTATCCTCGTTTGAAGGATGTGTCTAATTGATTTCTGCTTTGCAGACAGGAGTACTTAACCTTAGCTCAGGGACTTAGCTCTTCCTACACCGAGGTATTAACCTCTGTAAAGCTTTGGAAGCTTCTATGTTTCTTTGTGTAGCTGGATTCTTTCTACCTCCTCAGTTTCCAAGCCAACAAAATGGTACAACCCAAAGGAGCAGGCATGTGATAGTGTGCCCTCAGTACATGTATGCTACACAGTGCCTCAACTACTGAATGTAGCTGTAACACACAGATAGTGAGACTTAGCAGAGACAAGGGAGGGAAGCTGGGGACCCTGAGTCATTCTCCCTTCACAGTTCTAGGTACTGTCCAAACTGCATAATTTAGTAGCCCATTGTTACACTGGACAATTAAATTCCCCTTACTTACAGGTGTCAGCTTTCTCAACCATTGACAAGTAGGTGGGACTAGGTGGTCTCTAATATCTATCATAGCTCTGAAACCCTTTGATTCTAGTGTTAAACTTGCTTTCAAGCAATGTGAAAAGAAGCTTTTAAAGCTAAGCGGCTTCTGGTTGGTGGCCCCTGCCGTGCATGATTCAGCAATAGATGAGTGCTAGAGAAAGAAAACTTGCTTACCACCAGGGGACAGATATCAAAAGCCTTTCGAATTCCAATCACAGTAAAGGCTGTCATATATAAGGTGTTCTCTTGGGCTTCAATAGGCAAGGTACCCTAACACAAAAACAAAACAATGTTTCAAAATGGCATGTTTAAAGTGAAATGATCCGTTTCTAATCTCCATTTTGCGCCTGTCTCCACTCTTGTCTTTCACGCACTCCAGCAGGCTGCTCACCGTTCCTCCACAAACTCTGAGTCTTCTTCCTTCAGTGGCTTCACCTGCCAATCTCCCCTGCCCACACCTTCTACCCCACTTCATGCTTTTTCACCACATTTAGATTCTTCCCCTGGGTCAAGACCCTGTCAAAATGCTACCTCCTCTATAAAGCATGGTTTGATCTCTGTTCTGCCATATTTTTTCCTCTTAGGGTAGAGATAATTCCATGCAGGATTTATAAGGCTTTCAGTGAAATTTATTTACCTCTGTAGCTTTATTTCATGCCACTCACTATTTAGTCTCATGCCCCAGTTATTTGAATGAACCACACTCTCACTTTTCAGTTCAAACTGCCAGGCATAACAGGAATATGAGAAAATATTCAACATCACTAATCATCAGGCAAGTCAAACTTAATCCACAATGAGATATTACCTCCTACCTGTTGGAATGGCTAGTACCAAAAATACAAGGGATAACTGTTGGCAAGGATATGCAGAAAAGGGAACCCTTGCATACACTTGATGGAAATGTAAATTAGTTCAGCCTTTATGGAAAGCAGTATGGAAGTTCCTTCAAATTAAAAAAATCTGTCATATATCTCCACTGGGTATATATCCAAAACAAAGAAAATCAGGATCTCAGAGTTATATTGTCACTTCCACATTCATTGAAACATTATTCACAATAGTCAAGATATGGAATCAAGTCAGCCTCAGTATTCATCAGTGAATGTGTGGATAAAGAAAATTATATAAATATAAACAATATTGTTACTTAAAAAAGAAGAAAATTCTGTCAATTTTGACAACATGGATGAACCTGGAGGACATTATGCTAAGAGAAATAAACCAGTCATAGAAAGATAAATACTGCTTATATGTAGAATCTAAAAGAGTCAAACTCATAAGTGCAATAATCTATGGGCTAGAGGTGGGAACGTGTTGGGTAAAAGACACAAAATTTCACTTAGAAAGGAAGAATAAGAGATATATTGTATAACATAGTGATTGCAGTTAATAACAATGTATTTTACAGTACCGGAAAATTGCTAAAAGAGTAGATTTTAAATGTTCTCACCACAAAAAAGATGCATGTAAAGTAATGCATACATAAATTAGCTTGACTGAGACATTTCATTGTGTGTGTGTGTGTGTATATATATATATATATATAGCAAAACATCATATACTATACATATATATAACTTTAATTTGGATAAAAAGAAATTTAATTCTGATAAAAAGAAATCCTATCTATGGGCTCTACTTGGAAAGCTTTTTCTGTCTTCCTCCTATGTCTCCCAGGAGCCTGATCAGCTTGTTTTGCCCCCCGCCCCATTAGATTGTTTACTTTCAATGAAACTACATTTCCCCTTTCTTTCTTTTTTTGTTTTTTTTGTACTGGGGATCGAACTCAGGACCTTGCGCTTGTGAGGCAGGTGCTGGAACCACTGAGCTAAATCCCCCGGCCCTCATTTCCCCGTTCTTAACATGCATCACACACAAAATTACTTCATGTCTGACTTCTCTACTAGATCATAGGCTCTACTGCCTTGATGACCATACTAGTTTGTTCACTATTGTGTCCCTACCATCCAGCACTTGGTATGTTTAACTGGAAATTATTGAATAAATTAGTGAACACACACATATCTTGATTGGAGTTGCTAATATTTTTACTAGCACGTAAACTTCACATTCTCTTCCTGTGTATGAACTCCTTTGTGGCAGGGATACTGTGTGGCTCCATCCTTCCCATCCCTTCTGTCCCACCCTGCCCAAATAAGACCCTTGTATATGTTAGGTGCTCAGTGAATGGTTATTGAATGAATGTGGATGGATGGGCAGAAGGATATTGTAAGAAAAAAAGTTATAGTATTTTACTCTTCATATAACACCGAGATGATGTCAGTTGCCCTATTTCCTTTTTTATCAGTACATGTTTGTAGTACATAATGATTGCAATTACCATGGGGAGCTGGTACATATGCATAATATATCTTCATTCATTTTTCTCTCTCTCTTTTCATTTTTTTCATTCCTTAATCTTCCACTCCTGCCCTGCTCCTTCCAACTCTTGGTCCTCTTCCCATTTGCAAAAGCTCTGTTTGTATCATTTTTTCCCTTCACTTCTCTTTTTCTGTCCTATTTTCTTCTCCTCTATCCCCCTTACGTCATCTCTAGTTTGCCATCCATTTGAAAAAGATCTCCCTACTTCTTCCTCTTTATCTATCTTCTACATTATTTCTCTCTCTTTACACACATACACATATGTTTTTTGAGTTTCTCATATAAGAGAAACTAGGATATTTAAGCCTGTGTGTCTGACTTATTTCACTTAGTATTATGGTCTCTAGTCCAACTGCCCTGTTTCTATGGGAGCCCTAATCTGCTTTTGGTGCAACAAAGGGCCAGTATGAGACCCACAGGCAGCCATGGAGGTCACTCATGCCCGATATGAAAGGAATCGGATTGCAGCATTCTAAGGAGTAGAATGGTATGTTGGAGCAATATTGTGATTGCACTGTAATTCAAGTTTGTAAATAGATTCTAATCTCAGAAGAGATTGCTGCCTTTTAATAAATTGGCCCCAATTTCTCTTACTAACAGGATACAGATAGGATCCCATCTTTCATGAAAATGCCATGGAAATCTGATCAGTTGGAGGCCATGACCTTTAGGTGCAGATTCCATACCAAGGCCAGACAGATAAATTAGTCCATTTTACTTATTTTGGTATCTCTGGAATTTACCCTCTGTGAACCACAAGCACCTTTATACCAGATGTCCAGGACATCACTTATGTGGCCTCTTTCTTGCCAGATTACATATATTTTCCCCTCTTCGTCTTCATCCTCCCATAATAGAATGAGAAGAAAACTCAAACTTATAAACAGAACAGTTACTAATTTCCACATTTGGTTTCCTTACCTGTAATTTTATTGGTTGATATTGGGAATTTTCCTTGAAAGATCCATTTTCTAATTGGCAGTTCTCAACCAGCCACAATAAGGAATTGCAAATTGAGTTTTGGTTCTGCTCTATATATTTATTTACTTGTCCAAGTACTCTTAAAGCAAAAGCTGTTAACCTTTAAGACAATCAAACAAATACTTAGAACATTGAGTTCCTTTTGGCTTTCAACTTGGAAGGTATTTTAGCTCACACAGTTTTATCCTTTGAAAAACATAAAAATTTAAAACATACAATTCCATAGTAAATCGGCATTTTACAAGGTGACAAGGGAAGATGTTTGAAAGAGCTCTAAAATATTCAGTCAACAAATGGGAACAGCACATCTGTGATTGCAACACTGTTAGCTAGAACACAAGTGAAAACTGATCCTTGATGACAAAATAATTACTCCTTCAAATTAAAGATAACAGGTGAAACAAATAGTTTTGAGTGAAGGCACTGACCTGTGAACACAAGACAAGGGAAGGTAAAAATCATAAAATTCTAGATTGTAAAATTCGCGTGCCTGGGGCATCTGAATCTCTATCTTCTTTCCCGACACCCTGGGAGTGTTCATCCCATTTCTTTCCCCGGAGTTCTGCCATTGACACAGAACTTGCTGCCTCTCAAGGAAGCTGTAATATCATGAACACTTAGACAAAGAGTAATTTCAGCCTCTACTAATATCTGTCACAGAGCATCAGAGAAGATGGAATTCACGCTCTGTCCCCTACATACCTCGTCCCTCCCTAGCTCCCCCAAAGCCCCTCACTCTGAGCATCTCAGAGACTGAAGACCCAAAACATTTGACTCTTCCACCCCTTACCCTCACTTTAAAATTTTGTTTTATTTTTGCTTCCATCTGCTGTTTAAAAATGTATTTAAGTATTTCTTTTGGAAGGAGGGAAATCCTCATATGACTGAAAAATCCAAAAGCATAAAGGGTATAAAATTATAAATCTCTCTTTCACCCAGGGCTCCCTCCACTTCCCAATAGGCAGTTATCACTGTTTTTACGGTATCTTTCCAAAGAGTGAACAAGGAAATACAAGCTTCCTGTCTACCTTTCCATCCCAACTACAGCAAAATATCAAGATGGTATTTATTTTGCCCTGCACTTGGCTTTTTATATATAATAATATACTTTATAGGTCTATATTAGCATATAATATTTCCTCATTCTTTTACAAATGACTTTACATATTAAATTACAGTATTTTGGTGCAGATGCACAAAACTAGCCATTTACCTACTTGCAGACCTCTAGCTGGTTCTAAATCTTTGCTCTAACAGCTTTAATTATTAAAAAAAAAACATTTTTGAACTTTGAGACTTGCCTCTCCACAATTGAGTGTCTTTTCCTAAAGCTTCTTATGACACAGAAGTTCATTTTCTGTTCAGTGGAGTTTTAGGGGAAAGAATTTAGAACCCTCTCCTTCATCCCCTAATCTGCTCCCATGGAGGAGAAGGAATATGTTCATGGATTGATCACACTCAAGAACACTGATTGGCCTGTGTGTTATGTTGGGGCTCTCTTGGAGTTTGGCCTTAGGGAAGGTCTTTTCTGCTGGCAGGCTAGAGAGAAGGAAGGTAGTCAGACTGCCAGGCTTCCTCTCCATTTCTTCTCAACTGGGACAATTATACCCAATCTGTGTTTCAGTTTGATCTTGAAAAGGGTAATGGCGATAAATGGAAAAAAGGCTCCAACTGCTGAGATTTAGTATAAGGATTAAATGTATAAACACACCTACAATAGCTCTGGCAGTTAAATGTGTAGTAGGTATAAGTGCTCATCTTTCCCAGTAGCTGATACTCGGGTGCCCCAGCCCTAGAGTCCTCAGACAGTGGGTATCTAGACAGCTCTTCCTCAACAGTAAAGCAAATACATTTTACTCGGGTTTTATTGTGTTCTCTTCTCACTAATCTGTCCATCTTAGACTGGCCTGAAATTCAAACTTTAACTGTGACTTGGAAGAAAGGAGAAAGAGTAGATTATTTAATTTGCTTTTATGGTAGACCCATGGCTGCCTCTAGGTGGTTTTATAGTTTGGCTTAACTCATTAAGTTTTACAATAGGTTCTAGTTCTAAAAATTTGTAGTAGAAAAGAATTTTTAAAGTCATTCTGAAGAGAAATCTGACAAAATATGGTAAAAATGAAAACATGCATTTATTATGCTCCAGCAATTCCATCTGTAGGGATGTACCCTAGAGAGATGCACACATGTGTACAAAAAGACATATGAAGATGTTTATTACAGCATTGTTTCTAACAGTAAAATCTGGAAATAACTATCCATCAAATGAGAATGGATAAAAACATATGTGCTATGTATATATTTGTAAAAATGTAATGAAATGTAATGAGGAGAAGGAATGAACTACATCATAGATACATACACATTACTAGACCTAAATGAGTAAATATTGAGGGGGAAAAGGCAAGTTGCAGAATGATAGCTGTGGTTTGAAACTAGTTATGATCATTTAAAAACATAAGAAGGGACTGGATATAAATTCATATATATATATATATATATATATATACACACACACACACACACACACACATATATGTCTATGAAAGATTAAAAATGGCCTGGAAGGAAGCAGAAATTCATGAGTGTGAATCATCCTGCAGGAAAGTAAACAAGAATAAGATGGAAGCTGGTGCTTAAAGAGATAACTGGAACTACAGCTGTAATACTTTCTTTCTTTTTTTTTTTTTCAGTACCAGGGATCGAACTCAGGACCTTGCTCTTGCGAGGTAGGTGCGGTGTTACAATACTTTCTTTTATAAAAAGAGCAATACAAAAAAGTTTACAATCCTTAATTTTGAGTTTTGTTAATATGAATGTTGTTTGTATTTTTTTGTCAAAGTATGATAGTATTTTCTGAAAGTAGACTGTACGTGGACTCTTTAATTCATTCTGTCTTGTCCTCAAATAATCAGATTTATGGAAGTTATGCCTTATTGAATAAATACTTACTGAGTACTAGGTATGTACCAGGCACTAGGAATATTAGGAATTGCCTATGTGGAGCTTACAGTCTATTGGAGGTAATAGACATTAAGTGAAATAAGTAAAAATGTTGCTAATAAATGCTAAGGAGTAAAGGAACATAGGGAGAAAAATATGAAGTTTTGGAGTGGGAGTTGGTTGCAATTTTAGATAGCAGGGGCCTAGTGAAGCAGGTGAATTTTGGTAAAGACATGAAGAAAATAGGAAACCAGCCATATTGACACCCAGGAAGGAGTGGTACAGTCAGGAAATAGTGCACAGACCTGAAGTGGCAGCATGCCTGCATGTGTTTGAAGAGTGGTGAAGCGGCCTTGGAGTGTAGCAGAGAAGGTGAAGAGGTGAGATGCAGATAGGTCATTAGAACTTCATAAATCTCAATAAGAGAAATTGGTCTTTACTGTGAGTCCAATGGGAAGCTCCTGAATGGTTCTGAGTGCTGTGATCTAACTTACGTTTAAGAGGGTCATTCTAGCTGCTATGTTGAGTATAGACTAAAGAGGATCCAAGTCTGAATTCAGAAGACTAGAGAAGTCTAGTGCAATAATCCAGAGAGGAGGCTGGCGTGGACTAGGATGACAGAATAGAGATGGTGAGAAGTAGCCAGATTCAGGATATATTGTGAAGGCATAGCCAAGCATATTTGTTGGAGCTTATGTGGGTTGTAAGAAAAAGAGAGGAATTGAAGAATGACTAAGCTTTTAGTCTGAGCAACTGGAGGGATGGAATTTCCATTACAGTTGTTATTCTTTACTTAATCAACTACTATGTGAAAATACAAGTTAAGACTTGCTACTTACCAAGTGCTACCACTTGCACCCTTCCACATGCTGTATGAATAATCAGCATTTTTGTAGGACATGATGCTCACCATCCCTAGGAGACACCAGAAGAAGAACACAGTGCCTCAATGACCTCCGTTTCAACTCACAGTGCTACCTTGGCCCCAGGGGGTGGTAAATTTCCTTTGGTGTTGGGCAGTAAGCACATGCTCTGTGGCTGGTACTCAACTTCTTAAATGCAGCATGTGAATTGCTTGAACTTGGAATTATCGAGCAGAACATTCTGATCTCATTCAAAGAGCAAGGAAGTGCTCTGTAGAGTTTGGAATGCAGGTGTCTTGTCTCTCATCCAGGCATTTTGGTAATTTAAGCCAAAATGCTACAGAAATAGTACACATATTTATTCATGTAGTTGAGTCCATTTCATGATTCTTTTTGGCTAAAATGCTTTTACAATTAAGCATTTATATAACTCATAACAACTTAATTATTAGTTTAAAATATTTGTTTAAAAATTACTAGGTTATTGTGTAAAATAGATTTTTTTACCTTCTTTTATTTTTTTCTTCAGGTACTGTTTTTTAGTTAATGAGTGAGGATGAAAAATGTTCCAGTGATTTCCTGCCTCCAGATAGTGAAAGACATAGAATACTGGGACCATGCTCATCAGCTCTGCCTCTGCATTCCCCCCAGGGAGGTGGGTTAGGATATCGATGCCTTCCTGACTCAGGGCGGTTGACAGGATCTCACCTATAAGCATCCCTGAAACAAGAAGAAATCAAAGCATACATAACCACCTCCCACTGACTGATAAGAGTATATGCTGAAGAAAACAACCATCCCTATTTTTTTTTAATCTAAGCAGTACACTTGTTTCTCAGAAATAGATGAGAAAAAGGATTTGGCTTGAAACATGAGTTTAAAAGAAACAAAATGAAGACTTAAGCAATATCTCTATACTATGGTAGAAGATGATATAATACAATGGACAGATTATTGCATCCACAGTGATTACATGGACAAATCACATATAATTACAGGACAGATTACATGGCAAATCTGTTGGCATTCACAGGTTTACACATTGCAAACCATATTAACCAATCCTCCTACAAAATAAAACAAAGGCAGGCAGTGCTGTAACCACTCTGTAACTCACTGTGTAACCCTGTACAAGCCATTTTCTTATAAATCCAACAACAAGATTGCACAAAATCAAAAGTCTTTTCCAGTACTAGCATTCTGTGATTCCAAAGTTTCTGTGGGGAAAAATGTAGTCAGGACATTCTATCATTTTGATGGTATGTTACTGAAATGTAAAGGCTAGAGACCAGGGAAAGCCCATCAAAAATACCATGTCTTGGGCCGGGGATTTAGCTCAGTGGTTCCAGCGCCTGCCTCACAAGTGCGAGGTCCCGAGTTCAATCCCCGGTACCAAAAAAAAAAAAAAAAAAAGCCGTATCTGCAATGTCCCAGAGGGAAGAGAATCCCTGCTACAGCTTGAATGTATATGTTCATTCAAAACCCGTATATTGAAATCTAGTCAGCAAGGTGATGGTATTGAAAGGTGGGAATTTGGGGAGGTGATGAGAACATGAAAGCTCTGTCCTTCTGAGTGGGATTGATGACCTTATCAAAGAAATGTGAGGGTGCTATTCACTCTTTCCTGTCGTTCTGCTCCTCCACCACCTGCCATGTGAGGGTGCAGTAACAAGACACCAGGTGGGAAGTGGAGAGCAGCCCCGGAAGACATAGAATCTACCAGCACTTAGAGCTTGGACTTCCCAACTTCTAGAATGGTGAGAAATAAATGTCTGTTCTTTATAAAGTATCCACTCTTAGGTATTTCATTATAGCAGCGAAACTGGGCTAAGACAACACCTCTGGGACTGGTATTTCAGCAGAAGAGTGCTGTCGTCTTGGGGCCACTGCAGGGCATAAAGCCTTCTTTGGAGCTAAGACCATGGAAAATTCTTTAAATCTAGAAGCAGCTGCACCCTTTCTTTTAGAGTAGTCTTTGGCCAATGATAGTCCTCACTGTCCATCATGGGAGAATTAATTTTCATTTCAATCAGGCCAGTGGAAGAAGATAGTTGGAAAAGTGATCAAGTATTTGTAGGAGAATAATGGGTATTCTCAAAGGAGATTTGTGTGTGCAGGAAATCAGATAAATAGAAATAGAATAATGTAATCAAATCAGACTTGGTCGCATATGCCTGTAATCCTAGCACTCAGAGGCTAGGGCAGAAGGATAACAAATATGAGCCCAACCTGGGCAGGTTAGAGACTTAGCAAGACTGTCACAAAAAACAACACTCTGGGAAGGATCACAAGTTGAAGACCAGCCTGGGCAACTTAGCAAGATGCTGTCTCATAAATAAATAAATTTACAAGGATGGGGTTACAGCTCAGTGTGAAGGCCCTGGGTTTAATTCCCAGTACTACACACATGCATGCGTACACACACACACACATACACACACACACACACACAGGCAGTGAAAAAAGCAATAAAAATAGAATTTGTTAATTTACCTTTTACACTCAAAATCCTTTTGACATTTGTTTTTGGAACCATATCTAATGGTATCCTGTATGGAAACTCCTTTCGCCTGCTAACAGTACCTGTAATTTAAAAAATTATTAGATTTGTACAGAGTTTTTTTGGGAAGTGACTATTTGCAGGTTATTTATAATATATCTACTACCAAATAGTTTTTTTGAACTAAGATTCTTTTATAATAACACTATTACAATTACAAGGAAAGAAAAATCAAGGTTTTTTTTTTATCAAGCTCTTGGCTTATATAATCTCTTTAAATAAAACTCTAAACTTGGCTATAAGATTGCTGGTCATACCAAGATGTGAAGTAAGTAGATTATTTCAATTTTATCCACCGGTAAAAGGTAGCATGGCTTTTTGTCCAAGGAGAGAAATTTGTTCCTGGAACTGAAATCTAAAAACAGCTAACATGTAATTTCCAAGTCAAGGTTATTTGCTCCATTGGGAAGTAAGATCTGAAATTCTTTCCACCTTCTCCTTCCTGTCTAATTTAGAGATGTTTTCTATATGCCTTTGACAACAGAGTTTTAGCACAGTGGTATCAGAGAATTTTTCTATTGTAATCAAACACTGGTTTTTGTCATAAAATGATAACACTTATTATTGTACTGATAGAATACTAAGCACTGCCCTGAGCTCTTTAATTGCATTATTACATTAGATCTTCACATCAATCCTGTAGGGTAGGTCTATTTTTATCATTTTAATTTTATAAATGAGGAAATTGGGCTTAGAAAGTAACTTGCACAAGGTCACAGAACTAGGACAGGTAGAGTCCTGATCTGAGATAAGGAGATTTTACCAGAATCCATTATAGTAACCATAAAGAGAATCCACCTCCCACTGTTTTGCTAAGAAACCCCTTTTAAAGCAGAAACCAACTCCTACCCAAGTCATAGTTCTAGCACTTAGCATAGTCCTTGGCACATGGAAGATAATAAAGCAGTGAGTGACATCTTGTAATTTAACTGTCAAGCCAAAAGATGCAGGAATGTCCTCATGAAACTTCTTTCTCCACTAACCCTTGATAAATGCTGGGAATTTATATTAAAACTCCCTGAAGGCACTTAAGAGTTTTGCACTGTGGTTGGCAGAGCATGGAGTTCAGAAAGAACTTGCAATGCATGGGACACTGAGCAAGACACAACCTTTCTATGCCCCAGTTTGTTCACTGGTTAAATGATAGTAATATTTTCTTCAAAGGGTTTCTGTAAGGATAAAAATAATATAGACAAAGAGCCTGGGATACAGTTCATGATCACTAGATGGTACTTATTACTGAGAGATTGTTTGTGAATGTCTAAATATGGTTCTCCACCATTTTCTCCATTGATACCTACTCTCGACTATTTCAGTTCTCACTGGTAACTCCACTACCAGATGGAAAGCTAACAAAGAAAGTCAAAACAAAGGAAGTCAACTTAACTCATCAGAGATCATGACAAAAGATTCATCATGATATCACAAAGAAAGGTAAATTCCAGTCAGATTGAAACATTTACAAGTCAAATCTGTAAAATCAATAGAATAACAAATCCTCAACATCTTTGTGAACTAAAGGTAGACTGTCTTCTTAAAAATTATCCCCCAAATAAAAAACCATAAGCATTATGATGGATTTGACTATAACAGAATAAAGGATTCCTGTTTAAAATCCATGAAGATTTGTTGTTGCTCAGAGAAGTACATCAGAGAGACAAAACTAAGAAGAAATATACAAGAAAATTCAAATGGAAATTTTAAAAAAAGTTCAAAAGATATGAATAGGCAATTGATGAACCCAACACCCAACAAATATATGAAGAAATGCTTAAAATGGTAGTGTCTAGAATGATCCAAATTAAAACAAAGATGAGATACCACTTTATACTAATAAAACATGGCACATTTTAGAGTGGTGAGTAATAGCAAGTGTTGGGGAGGATGTGGAGAGAAGAGAATCCTCACACACTGCTGGTGGAAGTGTAAATAGTGCAGACATTTAGAAGAGCAATATGGTAGAAATGAATGACACTGAATATATGTATACCCTTTACCCCAACGGTCCCACTCCTGGAAATGTAGTCCAGATAAATGCTTATCCTGCTTTTTCATCCAGCTTTATCTATCTATCTATCTATCTATCTATCTCCATATATATATTTTCTTTTCTGCAGTGTTGTTTAATGGTAATGAGGAATCTGTCACTAGGGGATAAATACGTAAAATTGTGAGAAAATATACTCTGAAATTCTATGCAAGAAACAGTAAATTAAATGTACATATAGCAATACAGATATTTCATTAAAACTGAGTGTTTATTTAGTATTGAGTTTAAAAACTTAAGAAAAAAGAAAAGGATCTATAGGACAATATATTTATATATATATAAAGATATATATATATATATATATGTATCATAACATTACTTCCCTATTCAAAGACATATGTCAAACACAGTTGAGTAGGTATATTCGAAGGAAGGGAAATTGGAATGGGGTCAAGGATGAAGGGAGATAATAAAACATGAGAGTGGCTCATCAAGACCAGGGTGCTGGGGAGCGAGGAAGTGAGGAAGTGGAGAGCTTAACTTTCTGCAACTAAGATACAACAGAGTCAGGAGGAAGGGGTATGAGGGAAAGAAGATAGAAACTAATGAATGACTCGAACTAGACTTGAGTATTGTGTCTCTGTGCTTAGGTTCTTTCTAAATTAGTGTCACACAGTTTTAATTACTAATATTTTACAGCTTGTTCTGAGACTTCATTTACTTTCCTGAATGCGTATTGGTCTATTGTTTCTATTTTAAACTAAATTCCTTAAAATGTAATATGGGTAAGGATGTAATGAAATCTTTGCTATATCCTGAACAGAATTATTATCTTAACTGTCTTTAGCTTTCTAGATCTCAACAAGCTATTTACATCTAAGTTGCCTAAATAATAACGAACAAAACTATGGCAAGATGGGAAAGAAATATAGTTGTTTGTTTTGTTTGTTCTGTTTTTGTGGTGCTGGGGATTAAAACCAGAATTTTATGCACTCTAGGCAAGCACTCTATCACTGAGCTATACACACCCTCCAGCCCAGAGGTTTTAAAAACCAAGAGTTGCTCCAGAGAGATTTAGTCTAGGAAAAAAGGTCAGTCCCATCTTGTGGTCCTGATATTCATGCCTAGGATGAGTAAGATTTTAGAAAGCTGTTTGCAATAATGTCAGTATCAGAGACATCAGTGGGGAAAAAGAAGAGAAACCAAAGAATATGATGGCTCTGAGACTTGATATAAGTGCCTGAGGCCAAAAACCTTAGAACACACAACAGCTCTACTCATAGATCATCCATAATAGCTAATCTATAGAGTACAGGGGATGCTGCTTGAAGGTAAAATCAGAGAAAACAACTAACATGTGGATATATACATATAGGATGGATTTTTCTTTTTATTATTTTACTGAAGTCATTCTTATTCAGTTTGTGAATCGAGCTAATTTCAAATGTAAAGAGTAGTAACATTTTGCTTTCCTATAGGAAATGGTACTCTGAGTAAAGTAGTCTTCATTTGTAAGTAAATATTTTTTTCCCTATTTTGCTATTGTAGGGACAGGGGTCTGTAGATGAGAAAATAGAATCAGGGCCTCCTTAGGTCTTCTAGCTAATCCTGACTAAAAAGAGTTAAAATAAACTTTACTAGAGAGATTCCCCTGGGAAGCAGGTCAGAGATGGGGGTAGAAAAACGAGAAAAAAAAATCAGGTAAAGAAAGGCACCAAATGGTCTTGGGATTTGCACCAAGTGACCAGAAAAAGAGCTGACAGGCAGGATGCTGAGAGAAAGCCAAGTGCACAAATGAACTGTAAGCTGTTCCCACCTCTAATAAAATATAGGTGAAGCAAAGTGGGGGAACTGACTATAAGGCAGTGTGTACTCACACATGTGCATATATGTGTGTGTGTGTGTGTGTGTATTCACTCTAGAATCACTATATTATTCACTCTAGGGTCATTATAGAGTGCAACAGATAGCCACAGGTCCCCTTACTAACTCTAAGCTAACTGTGAGTAAGGCACTCCCTTGCCAATTAGCCACCCACCCCAGAGATAAGGCCTTCAAAGGTAAGTCAAGGACAAGTAAACAGACAAAAAGAAGTTACTGGTAGACCACCGGAAGAAATGACAATAGGCAGAGGTGCCCAGAAGCCAATCCAGTTATGGCACGCTCTGGGTGGGGGGGGATGGGTCCCCGCCCCCCCAAAAGCAGATGGGAACAAAGGCCCCAGGAGTCCTCCATCTCTCTGGAGCCTCCTACCCTGATTCTTTCTTATCAGGGTAGCTATCTCTCTCCTCCTTTCTTCCACTTTCTTTTACTCTTTACAAATAAAGTGTCTTCCTTTTGTTAACCTTTTTCTTTCTAGTATTTCATTGGGGCTGAGTGTACCATCCCAGTGGGATGCTTGGACAGCAGAACAGTGGTGCTTATCCCTGAGATGCAACACTACATCACTGAAAGAAAATAAGAATGATTTGATGTAACACTAAGATAAATTATAACATTTAACAAGAACTACAGCAGTCTGTCTTGTCTTATTGAGAAGAAAATAATTGTTACTGGAGCATATTCTAAATTTCATAAATAGACACTGCATATATGTAGTTAGGCCTTGATTTGGTTCTTTTTTTTTTTTTTTTGGTACCAGGGATCGAACTCGGGTCCTTACGCTTGCACAGCAGGTGGTGAAACCACTGAGCTAATCCCCTGGCCCAATTAGGCCTTGATTTGATACTCACATGTTTGTAAAATTTTAGCTTAGAGAAGATTCACAGTATCTCAGTTGAAGGAGAAGCAGGAAAGTGGAAGCGCAAGGAATAGGTTTAAGTGATAATTAGAATTACTGTCTTTTCAAATAATGCATGTTGAATAACTTTGGATTGATGGTTTTATAATAAAATGTTATAAATCATTTTCATAATGGATAGATTCAAGAAGTGGACATTTCTGATTCTACACATTTAAAAATTTAAAAAATAGTGTTTTAAGGTACATATACACTTAATTTGCAGAGCAAGACATCAACATATAAGATACAAAATCATTTTCCTACCGTAAATTCCCTTAGGGTCCAGAGTAACACCAGCATAACTTTCTCTTTTGACCCCTTCTGGCTAAAGACAGAAAACATTCAGTTAAGAAAATAATTAAACTTGTAGGACCTGAATTTCTTGGGTCAGCTTTTCTGGACTACTTTCCCAATTTAAAAAATGCTCTTGTTTTGGAAAGGCAGACTATGCACCAATACTTATATGCATCTTAATTATAAGATTTTTCTGACTATTTGCAGAGCAGAGCAAATGTTTACATACAAGTTATTATATGCCAGGTAATTTGTCTGAATGCTTTGTATGTATTGCCTCTTAAACCTCTGAAAACCTCTCTGAAGTAGGCTCTAAAATTACTCTGTGTGACAGATGAGAAAACTGACACACACAAGCATCAAATAACTCATCCAATGTCTCATTGCTAATGGAGCCAGAATTCAAAGCCAAGCAGCTTGCTCCTGTCAGTGCATGAAACCACAGTGCAAATGCACAGGAATGTGCTTTGCACAGAATAAATCAATAGAGGTTAACTGACATGAATTTCATAGCTGAAAACAACTCAGAATGAAGAGTTAAGAAGACCTAGTCTGTCAGTAACTATCCATATTACCGTTGGCAAGAACCAGATCTTGCTTTAAATTAATACTATTTTAAATTTATAAAACATAATTGTATAAGAACCTCAATCTTTGTGGCTTTATTTTAAAGAGAAGAAATAAATTCTTTCAATGTCTAACAAATTCTTAATTTTGATGACATGATAACACTCAGCAGACTGTGAGGTCAATAATATCTAACAAATGATCTTTTATTTTTTGCCTTTTCTGGCCTGTTTACTCATTTTTAAATGGAAAGTTTTCTAGACTGTGCATTCTTTAAATGCAACAGTTGTGCCTTATTTATCACTTTATCTTCAATATCTGGTGTACGTATTTCAAGACACACTTTCTGGATTTGTCCTGAGTGAGTGTGGGAAAGCCTGGAAGACATGTACCAAATTGTTTTTCTTACCACTACTCGTAATATTTTTACTAAGATTTCTCTTCCCAATGAAGTCTCCAGTGTGAAGTTGATGTTATGGAGGCCAATTTCCAGAGGAAGCAGGCTGAAGGTCACCAAGTGGCTGGAAGAACCCTCCACTCGCTGACGCTCACATTTGGAAGACTTTGTCCCCTGATGGCCAATGGCAGGGTGTCCTGATGTACAGATCCCCTCCACAGTAGACACTTTAACACAGAACTGAAATATCACAAGGGAAGAATCATATCAAAGTCCTTCATCATATGAGTCATACATATTATGGGAAAAAAACTTTATCTGCAAGAAAGTTTGCCCTGAATGATGCTTGTCTGGATACAAACTCTCCCCTGGTGCTTTACCAAGGCTACAATAACCCCTTGGGTTCTAGGCATGGGAGGAAGCTGGACTTGGATTTCCCAACGTATGCACATGGCACAGCTTAGCAATGCATAGGGATGTCTAGGAAACTCAGCACTGGTTCAGAGATGTCCTCCCTTCCTTTGACCATTTCTGCCTAAATTAGGTGCAAAGCTACTGCTGTTCTTTTTTCATGCTATTGCAAGAATACTTGTTACAGCATCTCTTTGCATGTTTATGTGTTAGCCTCAGGGTTGAGTATTCTGTCTTTATTCATCTTTGTATCTTTGAGCTCAGCCTCTGGCATCCAATAAATAATGGTTTGATAAAAGGCTGAAACTACATACCCTAACTCATTCAGGGCTCTGTCCAATATGTCCCCAACTTACTTTTCCAGTCTTGCGAACTTCCACTCTTACCCCATTTTGCAACTCAACTGTGGCTCTTGAAAATTATAGATTCACATCTTGGCTCTCCTTACTAACTGTGCCATTGGACTAGGTTGTACAGCATCTCTAATCTTCCATTTCCTAATTGTTATACTGTAATAGAATAGTATTTACTGACTTCTGGATAAAGTAGTGAATATATTTCATCTTTCTTCCAAACTATGGTTAACTGACAGAATCAAGAACTATATCCAAAAGAATAAATCCATTAAATCTGGAATAAATCAAGCTGATAAAGAAGCGAGAACATCAACATTTGTCTTAGTTACTTTTCTTGTTGCTGAGACAAAATGCCCAACACTCAAAGTTAAAGGAGGAAAAGTTTATTTAGCTCATGGTTTGTAGAGGTTTCAGTCTGTAGTTGGCTGGCTCCAAGGCAGAGTGGCACATGGCAGAGGGGCATCTCAGAGAAGAACAACAGTTCATGGTACCCCCAAGGTAGTAAAAGCAACAAGGAGCATTAGCAGCTTTTTTTCTGCCCCTTTTATACTCTATCTAGGCTACTGGGAATAGGTACCAAACCAATCAGTGGACTGATTTAGTAAGCACACACCCTTAATCCCAGCATCACACCAGGAATCAGTCACACACTCTAGATCTGGCCACCTCTGAAAGACTGCATTAGGCTTTGGGGGGACATCTAGACACAAGCCATAACAATATTCAACAATGAATTTTGCAAAATTTCTAAACTCCCCCTTAACCACCTTCTTAGGACAACAACCACCAAGGTGGGTGGGGCAGGAGCTAAAGAAGACTCCCTCAGTGTAGCAGAGACAGAGTAGGAAGGGTAGATCCTAGCACCCTGGGAGTTGAGGCAGGAGGATTGCAAGCTTGAGCCTACCCTGATAATTATAACAGTGGAAACTTGGAAACATATAAGTGTCTTTAATAGAAAAATGGTTAAATATAATACACTCCATATGTGAATCACTATGCAGCTGTGAGAGTAATAAAGAAAGCCTTTGTCTAGTCACAGATACTAAAAATATTATCCTAACTTTTTTTCTAGAAGTTTTAAATTTTTTTAATGTTAATGTAATACAAGTAGATATTAATAAAGAAAATATAAAAGCTGTTCTATAAAAAACTAATCTTTCATATAAGAACACAGCTATTACTGAGAAAAAATTATAAATTGTACTTCATGAAAATTTAAGATTTTCTGCAAAAGACGTTTTCAGAAGATGAAATGCTATGTTAAGACTGACAGAAATTGTTTTCAAAGAATATTGACAAAGGATTATTATGTAAACCTTATGTAATAGCTCCACAAACTTAACAGAATTTGCAAAACTCATGAACACGTATTTCACCGAAAAGGATATGTAAATGGAAAATGAGCACATAAAATATTTTCACATTATTAGACTTTACATAAATGCAAATTTAAAATAAAATGTAACATTACCAGATGACTATTAGAATGGAGAAAATTTTAAAACTATGAAAATCTAGTTCTGATAATATAGAGAGAAATGATCACTCATATATTGCTGAGGGAAAACATAATGATACAACTCCATTAGCAACAGTTTTGAAGCCCAGTGTTGCTCCATTAGGCAATGATCCCAGAGAAATTAAATTTCTAATTTGCATGAAAATATATAAATGAATGTTCACAAGAGTTTTGTTCAAATTGACAAAAATAGAAACAATCTGAGTGCCATCAATAAGTGAACGGTTAATGAAACTATTCTGAGTCAGTATCATGAAACACTACTAAGCAATTGAAAGAAATTAATTATTGATACTTGGATAATTATATAAAATAATAATAATCAAAAATGTCTCATATTTTGCTATAGTACTTTACAAAAATTTTTAAATTATAGCAATACAGAAATAAAGGGCAGATTAACAATTGCCAGGTGTTAAGTATGAGAGTAGGAGAAAGGTGTTGCACATGTTTATAGAAGGGAAACAATATATATTTGAGGGAGGACTAAATTATTGTGTACTTTAACTTCATATATGCTGATACCATCAGTGTGATACTGTCATACAATTTTCCCCATTCATTTAGTGCATATGATGTCAATATGTCTTCATATGTGTATGTTTGTATGTTTTTTGTTTTAAAATTTATTTTAGACTGATTTATAAAAACATAAAATTGTGAATATTAATGGAACATCATGTAATACTGTGATACATGTGTATATTATGCAATGTTTAAGTCAGATTAAACATGTTTTTCCTTTAAAAAAGTAATAAAATAAATGTATATATATTTTAATATGGGAAGGTGGTTCTGGTATTATTAGTGGGAATACATGTTGCTGAAAAGCATGTGTATGTGTGTGCATGTGTATGTGTGTATGTGTGTACACCTATTTTACATGTGTTGGACTAGGTGACCTCAGGAGCCCCTGCTGGTCTCCTTATTCCTCTCAATGACCAGAGGTTAGCTATGGCCTTTGTGCTATAGTTTTCTATTCTTTTCACCAATTTATGTATCTATCTGAATTATAATTTTATATGTTTAGAGAGTGACCTCTTTTTAACATGATTTGGATTGAAAAATAAAATTGTCTTCCTATGACAAAAATTACACCTGATTTTGGTTGTGGCAATAAAAACTGATTTTTCCAGCTAGGTTATATGCCAACCATATTACACAAATCAAATAAGCTAATTGTGAAGCTTGAAGGTGTAAGATAAAATCATTTTATAAGAACATATTAATAAAAGGGTAACAAAATTGACAATATTTTTATTTTTTCAACCTTCCTGATTATATTGGGTTAAATAAATGCCTATCTCAACAGAAATGAAAAATTGGATAAATGTGTGCTGAAGCAGCTCTCATTTTTCACAAAAAACAATATTTATCCATAGTTATTAGGTCAATTAAGAGAAAAGTATCATTTATCAAATGAGATACTTTATAAATACAAATTTTTATGTTTAATAACTTTTAAATTTATGTTATATTGTTATCAATTATGTACTAGTAATATTTGTAATAATAACTAAACCCATCATTTGGCACTAAAAGTCTTATAATAATTTATTTTAGAATATTTTATTTTTGATGTATATATGTGTTTTTATTGCATTAAAGTATGACAGTATGATCAATAGAAAAGATTCAAACACAAAATAGGGGAGTGGAAGAAAAGTATAGCTCATAAAGAAACAAAATTATATGTGATCTGTTAACAGTTTGTTCAAGTACTTAAAAATGGATTGCTACGGTATTTGGATTTTGCTACCTACATTTAAAGTTTGATATAACAGTGTTATTTTTAAAATCAACATTTAAATATACAGAAGTTATAGATTGGCATTTTTTTAAAAGTTAGGATGAAAAAGTTTAAATGCTAACTTAAAAATGTGTCGATGGGACACATAGTTTCTCCAAAAAAAAATTTAGAATATGAAAGCAAAATTTTTGGAGACAGCTCAGATATTTATCTCTAAAAATAAAATTACAGCTTTTAAAAATAGAGGTAGATTTGGAAACACGCCGAATCAGTTCGCTGCAGACAGGCAGGTCTGTGCATGCCCTACCGAGGTCGCCAGTCGTGTGGAACATGCCAAATCAGCCCGCTGTAGACAGGCAGGTCTGCGTACACCCTACCGAGGTCCTGCTGAATCAGCCCACGCCCTGGCAACAATCC